GGGAGCCCAGTCGTGACGGCAGAGCCACGACATGACGTCCCACGCCACGGGAGCCCGAGCGCACGGCTCTCGTACACTCCGTCCACCGAGGACTGTTCTGCCCCGCACCGCCCATTGTCCGCCACGTCCACCAGACTAGCGCGCGCACGCGACCTGGCGCATGCGCGGCCGTCCCCTGCAGCGGCACCCACCTCGGAGCCGAGCAGCTCGACGAGGCGCGGCACAACGCCCGCCTCGATGACGCGCTCGATCTTGTCGTTGCTGCCGTCGGTGAGGTAGGAGAGTGCCCAGCACGCGTCCGTCACCACCTCCGTGTCCGTGTGGTGGATGAGGAGCGCCAGCGCCGGCAGGCACTGCTGCACAGTCTCGAACGGCGGCGGCGGGTTTTTGTTGCGGCACAGGTTGCTGACGGTCCACGTGACGTTGCGCAAAAAGTGGGCGTTGGTATCGGGCCGCACGAGCGCCAGCAGCGGCGGCACGATGCCGCAGCCGATGGTGTAGTCGCGCAGCTCCGGCCCATCGCCGGCGATGTTGCCCAGCGCCCAGACCGCCTGTTCGGCAACGTGCTGGTGCTCCGAGCTGAGCAGCGCGATCAGGTGCGGCACCGAGCCCTGGTTTGCCACGAACTGTCGGCAGCAGGGCGGCGCCGGTTACATCAGGCGCGGCTGCACGGGCATACGGTCACGGGTGAGAGCCGCCCACACACAATCATCCCCAGTGACTGCAGCGTCCTCCGTCGTTTGATTGGTTTGGCCTCCTTCAGACGTTACAGACCAGCCGCTACGCCGTCCAACCGGCGCGCCAGACCAGTATCTGGCTCCTGACATCGCGACCGGCGCGCCGGCCGACCGCGTTACACACCGGCCCACAGCGCCCCCCGCCGGCGACTGACCTTGGTCTGCTCGGAGGTGCCCGAGGCAATGTTGGTGAGCGCCCAGGCGGCCTCGAACTGTAGCTGCGGGTTGTCGGCGTGCGTGAGGAAGCGCACACAGTGCGGCACGATGCCCGCCTGGATCATGGTGTCGATGGGAGGGTTGCGTTCCCGGCTGAGGATCTTGCGCGCCGCCTGCACGGCCGTCAGCTGCGCCGACTTGTCCGAGCCCAGGATGCCTGCCGGCCGACACCGGCGTCAGTTAAGTCTCCGCGGCCGTTCCGCACCGCTCGTGACACGCGGCCAGCGCAGGCACCGCCGTCGGCAGAGGTGGGCCGCGTCACGTGGAACGCGCGGGAAGCGAGCGGACGCGACACGAACGAGGGGCTGACAGTGTCGCCGGAGCCACGGCCAAGGTGACCAGGTCCGCCACTAACACTGACATCATCATTTCCGCCGTCTAGTGATGGCCAACCGGACCGGACTTGGGTAATCACACAATGACAAAATACAGGGACACCACACCACCTGCCCGTCAGTGACTGCCATCATTCATCAGCAGCCAGCGAAAATACGCCAGATCACTGCGGCTGTTAGTCTCGACGTCCCCGGACGCTCTGAGGCCATTACGAGCACTGTTCGGGGATGGACTTTGGACTGATACTGGCTGCCTGGAGTAATGACTGCGGTCATAGCTGATCATCAAAAACCTTATGGAACGCAAAAAATAGTTCAGAATGGCACATGCTTTTAATTTATCTAATACGTCACGAGAGCGTCAATGACGAACAGTGCTAGTCAAACCAAATAAACACAAAAGTGGCATTAATCCAGGGCCAGAATTTCATAGGACTGATTACACTTAAATCTAGGGTGGCACTGTCAAATTTCCACACATGACATGTTATAAGATGACGGATAAAACAACACACACCAAGAGGCAAAAACATTATGGAGCAAAAATATGCAATATCTTACTCACAAACTCACTCTCATGGCAAAAGCTCTGCTGGTTAGTCAAAATACATGGCATTTGCATGCTGCAGCCTCACTCACCAGAGACTAACGCCGCGAGCGGCAGGTCACCGTCGACCGAACCACCTTTCCAACACACAACATCCTATCAGGATGTACAGGGACATGACACCGCCCAAGGCACATTCCATGTCAATTGCAGCACCGCTCACTGTACAAACCAAACACATCAGCTGCACACGCACTCCCTCTGTAACACCTTTACAACGCTCGCTACACCATGCAGGAAAACTGCATGTTGTGGTGCTGCAGCATCAAACAACTGGCTGATGTGCGTTGTCAGACGCTTGAGCCATCAGTCCCGGCCGCAAAGCCCGCCACCCCGACCCGGCCTGGGTGGGATCGGTTCGGGTCGGTTCGGATCGGTTCCAGTCCACTGACCTGCGACGATCTCGTCGATGCTGAGCGACGGCGGCTTGGCGGAGTTGGCCTTGGTAGACTCCTGCAGCGGGCTGGTGGCCGCGTCCTCCTCGCCCAGGCAGATGTTGCGCCGCTTCAGGATCTGGTCGTCCTTCTTGGCCTTGCGCAGCTCGACGCTGGTCTCCTGGCGCCGGCGGCGCAGCTCTTCAGAGTCCTTGCCGCGGTTCTTGAAGGTGCGCATGCGCGCCGCCGATCCCCTCTCCTCGGCAGACATGCTGGCTGGCTGGTTGGATTATCTGCTGGAGGCACAGATGCAACATCAGCACAGAGCTCACAGCAATGCCAGATAAAACTGTACAGGAGCTTTACACAGCATCACACAAATGACTGCAGAGAGCAAAAATTCCTGCCCTTGTGGTAACACATGCAGACTGCGTGTAGAGCCATTGTGATCTGCCGAAACACATACAAACTGGCTGCTAGCAAAACACAGAAAGTTTGAGGACCAACAAAGCAATGCATGAATTAAGTGAACTTAAATTTAATGTGTCAAACAGTGACCACATGTTGCAAAAGTTGCAAAAGCAAAAGGCCACAAGACCTTTACGCACATTCAGATGGGGGTCAATTTCCCCCAGTTTTTTTCCAAAATGATCCCTGAACATTAAAGCATGGCCACATCAAATTTTGCAAATCTGATAAATTAATTTTATAAAAACTACAAAAAGCTGTTCATTTGCTCACCAAACCAAACAAAATACGCCAATCATGTATGACCCAATCTGTAAAAAAGGCATACTGTACCCAATAGCTAAGCACAGTGATGCCCCTGAACCAACCCACGTGAACAATGTTGAGACAAATCTACACTGAATCGGATCTATTTAGCTTAAAACACTGTTTTGTGCAAGTCTATAAGTTGGGCCAACTTTGGAAACATTGTGGGAGAAATTTCTCAACTAGAGCAGCACATGATACATTGGTGCATGTCCTGTAATGACGCACACCAGGCAAAAAAAAACTTGTATACAAAAATTAAATGCACGCAGATAAGAGGCACCACATTTATCCCAACCGTGTCATATTTCTTAACCTCCCACCTTTTGGTCTGCAGGGGTCTGCCACCTTTTGCAGACCCATTAGACCAAAACCCACCAATGAAATTAAAGTCTTCTGACAAGAAATGGTATGCAAGCTGGGGCTTCTAGCTCACATAACCTTCTGCTGCTTGAGCTGAATAAGAAGCCCAGCAACAACCAACTGCATACCAACCAACTAGGCATTATGGAGCCTCAAAAGTTGTGTTTAAAGCATTCTCATTTGCCAAATTTTGATACAATTTTAAATGCTGCAAAATTAAATAAGTAAAAGTGTGATGCAAAACACCTCATTGCAGTCTGTGACATGTTGACCCTTCTTGACTGTTGAAAGCAGAACCAGAGATTATTGGTTGATAAGATGCCAATTAGGCTATAAGGAAAATCCTGGAGACACATGGCCTTGCCCAGTCTTCAGACCAGCCCTACATCAAGCCGCAAGGCCTCAGCCAGCCTGTCATCAGAAATCAGAGGCTGAGAAATGCATCATCAAAGAAATCTGGCTGCCCTACTTGGGATGGACAGGATAAGATTCTGTAACATCTCACTGACCAGTCCATCACCTTTTAGGAGACCAGTTGAAGAAGTATATTGGAGGCATTGGCTGCTGAAATTATCATTCACCCTTCTCCTTCTTTGTCACATAGTCCTCCCCCCTCCCCCCCCATGCACTGTAATAAGTAAATCAGGGGCAGCCACACATAAAATTAATGGCACACATCCAATGAAACTATTGACATAATGCAACTTATATGCTAGTGAAACAAGTATGATGTTCCAGCAGCAATGTATAGTGTGTTGGTCATGTTGCTCACAGAGAATCCAGTCTAGATAATTTTTTTAAAAACTGGATTTCCCAAGTTTAGCCTACCCTAGCCTTTAATTTTGGCACAAAGAGCACAAGATTTCAAACCCATTACCCCCACTTTGAGCTTGAACATACTCAGAATATTGAGTGAATTTTTAATGTTCCATCAGAGCTTGAGCTGTTCTTGGTACATAACTGAAGTTTAGCATTTGCTTGTCATTTGAGTAATAAGTGTCAAAGGCACATCTTTACAGCTTGATGCTGCATCAGACTGCAAAAATCCATGTTATGTCAAACATTGCCTAACCTAGCAGCAAAAATGTTAAATCCTACTCAGTAGGTTGTGGTGTACATCAGCACCTAATGTTAAAAAACATGGTACATCAATTGTTTTTTAAGGCAGAACACATCATACATAATGATAAAACTGGTACATCTATACTCTTACCTTTGAACTTGATAATTACAACAGCAAACATCTGAGCACTGCAAAGACACAGCAATGGCGACCCTGACACCATTGCTAGGTTATTGGTGTGGTCACATTATTGCGCATCAAAAACCATAAAAATGTATCAGCCAAGGTAACAATAATGCAATGAAATAAGTTTCTTACATATCCAAGCCATCAAGCAATATTGCATAATTGGAGTTGTATGAAGTGGGATCATTTAGGGCCTTAGTATTACTGGATTTACCATAATGACAGTTTGACCAATAGTAATAATGGCTTACTATTACTGCCTTTATTATGCTTAGTACTACCAACATTGCAGCATTACATCACCTGCAAATTGATGCTTCTTAGACATAAGATGCTACAAGTAATTCTTCAGGCAGAACGTATCACAAATAGCCATAAAACAGGTACATCTACACTCTTACCTTCAAACCTAAATAATTACAAAATGAATTGAAGTGGCGGGCAAATATGACGTCCAAATATGGTAGGAGCATGACATGGAATATGACCTTGCAGGACACTGAGTTGAAAGGGGATAGGGTGGGGAGGTTAGACTAGACTAGGCTAGGCTAGGCTAGGCTAGGCTAGACTAGACTAGACTAGACTAGACTAGACTAGGTTGGGTTAGGTTAGCCTAGGCTAGCTTAGGTAAGGTGAGGTAAGGTTAAATAAGGCTAGGTTTGGTTAGGCTAGATCATCTTGGCACTCAGTCTTGAAATTCAGTCATACTATGCCCCTAAACAATCCCACTTCATGCAACTCTGATGATGGATATCAATTGACTGCTCCAATATGTAAGACACATTTCATTGCATTCTTGTTACCTTGGCCACATGCATTTTTGCAGTCTTTGATGAACAATGATGTTGTGGCCACACACCAATGGCATAGCAATGGCATCAAGGTTGTGGTTACTGTGTGGTTACAGCACTTGGATGTTTGCTATCATAATTGTTTAATTAAGTTTGAAGGTGAGAGGGCCATGGTATACATTGCCACCTAATGTTAAAGAAGAGCACTGTAGCTCAATTGTTGTTTTCAAGGCAGAGCATCTAGTGAATAATTGTAAAACAGGGCATCTAAGTTCTTACCTTGGAACTTAAATAACTGCAAAAACAAGCATCCCAGCACTGCAAACACGCAGCAACCGCAACCCTGGCACCATTGCTATGTGTGATCCCATTACTTTGCATCAAGAACCATGCAAATGTGTGGGGCCAAGGTCACAATAATCCAACAGGGTATGTTTCTTGTGTATCCCAGCAGTCTTCTGTACTGTTTGTACATTGGTTGACATTGGGGGGGGGGGGGGGACAAATGTGATGTCTTTGGGTAGGGAATGAAAAGCAAAATGAGAACATGATGGCCAAACAACACTTCTTAATATGGTACATATATATGCATGGAACATGGATGCTGATGAGACACTGGGCTGAAGGGGATAGGGTGGGGTCAGGTCAGGTAAGGTCAGGTTGGGCTAGGTCAGGCTAGTTTAGGCTATACTCTGGACTATCCCAGCCAGTCTGTTTCATAAACATACCTACACACACTAAGAAACATATTGCATTGCCTTATTATTGTTACCAAGGCCCCACACACTTTTTATGGTATTGATTATCAGTAATATTGTGCCCACACAATGATAACACAGCAACGGCACTGGGGTATCAAGGCGGTGGAACATGTGGCAGTCGGGAGCTTGCTTATGCAATTATTAAATTTTGAAGGAAGGAGCATGAATTGAGCTGCATAATTATTTACATGTTCCAACTTAAACACAACAAATGATGCACAATGCTCTTTTTTAACATTAGGTAGCAATGTATACCTACACAGGTGAGAGCATAATGTACCTGTTCTGTGATCACTCACATGTTCTCCATTAAAAGATCTGATGAACAATGCTCTTTTTAAACATTAGGTACCAATGTAAACCTACACCACTCAGAAAGCCAAAGTACTTGGTAATTGGTGCATGGTTACTACCTTTTTCACTCTGTACAAAGCTTTAAGGAATAATGTTCCAGAGGCACTTCCCGACAAAATGTACTCTGAAAACATTTTCCATGCAGATTACCAAAAAGCCCAGCATATTTCAGACTCTCAAGATATGCAGGCGTGAGCACAGGGTCAAGCACACATGTCACACAAACATCCAGGTGAGTAATTAATTTTTGGACCAGGCACTGGGCATTCTTCACACAGGCATCTCTCTAACAGTCCACTATCCCGCATTTTCACCACATACCATCATATGCAGCAAAATAAATGCAAACCTTTGACATTTTTGCGCACGTGGTAACCATGCAGCACTGAAATAATCTCGCATATCATCGGATGTTCGTGATTTTGGTGGGCCTTTCAGTGTCACGTGCAGCGCCACGTTTGCCTAAAATCCTTTGTTACCCCCACGAACTAACAATAGCCGAGGAATCCAAATCACAAATGAACTAATAATCCTACGCATCACCTTAAATTCACCAAACAGAATGAACTTACCGGACGTATGTCAATATAAAAAACAATTCCGGTGCAGCGCAACCCAACCCGTGGCAATGCCGCGCCAGAAATGCGGTCCGAATTGAAGTGCAGCAACTAACGAATGACCAATGATTACAGCTGATCTTGTAGGGCAGCTTTCGAATCAGCCAATGACAGTTGAGGATACATCGAAATAATAGAGGTGTTAGCTGGAAATATCAATATATTTAGTGATGAAAATAAGCGTATTAAGTTAAATTCCCTTTTTGCTCCATTTATTGCCCAAGTTTTATGTTGCTTTCGAAATTAATGGAATTTAATACTTTTTAAAAAAATTCCTTTACAAGTTCTGATATTTCAAATCACTTCTGGCGCAAGTTTATTTTCTCGGCCAAGATCTGGGGGCCTGTCGTATTTATGCCAAGCTATTTTGGCAGTCCCCAGAAAGAGGTCGGAAGCTGCAAACGAGGTAACAAATGAATGACATTCATTTGTTCATCCGTTCTGCCTGGTTGAACGGAAAACGATCCTCATTTTCTTCTCTCTCAATGATGCTGCAAAGAATATACTCCAGCGGTTCCAAGCAGGGGGTACGCACATATTGACCCCGGGGACAACGCATACCTCGCCCCTCGCTAGCCAAATTTGTGGCATGTATTCATATGAACGTCACGAAATGTTGATCGACAGCTAAAAACTTGAAAAAGACGCTCAGAAATGAACGTAATAATGATGTGCTTACAATAATACCGTGTTAAGCAGAGGGTGAGAGTCATTTGCAGAGCCAGAGCCTATGTGCACTTCCGTCACGGCAAACAAAGGACGGACAAATGACGCGCGCGCTCTAGGACACATGAGAAGTGCATTTGGATCACGCATTTAGCATCTTTCGCCGTTGTGTGTGTGGGGGGGGGGGGGGGGGGGGGTCTGCGGTGGGATGCGTGCGTTGCGCCACTGCCGAGTCGCCGCTGAATGTTTGTGCGCTGCCGGCTGCTGCTGCCACGCAGCGAATTTATACTGGGGAGCCCATTGGTCAGCATGCTAGCCAGATGATGTTAGTGCGCGACTCGGCACGTTGTGACTCCGGTACGCTCGACATCAACACATGCTCGTGTGCGCCGCAGAGCTCGGCTGAAGTGGGTGACCGCGGCATTGGCGGGATGGTAGGTCCGGTTAGGCGCCATGAACGGTCGTCTCCCGTGCATGGCTTTGCACCTTAACCACGGTACCTACCTCCACGCTTTTAGCTGATGATGATATTAAAACGGGGCAAAAACGGCGCCAGATGCATTGTTGATGTGTTCAATTGGCAGGGATCCCACGCAACTAGCGAATTACATTGGCGAGGCCCCGCTGGATAACAATCCTGTCCCCCCTTCCTCAGCCTAAATTAATCCACGTAGGCTTCATGCATTCAGCACTCCACCACACCCACTCCGAGCAGGCATATCCACTGGCGCCCTCGTCACCCCACGCATTCCCACCTCATACAGGCCCGCCCCCTTCATCCAGTGCCCTGATATCATAATTGGCTCGTCTCCGCTAGTCATCGTTAGGCTAAATTAAGTCTACTTATCATATTTTAAGCCTTCAATAGAGCCACGTTTAATTCCTGTCTTAAGCATATCACGTTAATTTAACAGCTCGGCACAGATGCAGCTGCTGGGCTGACATCAGGTGTGGGAAGCTGGCTGACGACCCGTTCCCCGCCTGACCTTCAGGGTAACGGCTCCCTGTTCGGACGACGCTCCCCGCGCTCGGCCACGGTGAGTGGCCCACCACCGTTCAGCCACGTCCAACGCTCGCAGCTTTCCGCTGCCGCGCCAGCGCCTTGTGCAGCGCCCCGTTCAGCACGGATGCGTCGCCTCTGACGCTTCTGCGCCCTCGCCTCCCGATACCTGTTCCGGGCGAAGCTACGCATGACTAGCAAGCAGCGATAAACATTAAGCAGTTAATCACGTTCTGTCACTCAAGCGGCTTTAGCTCTCGACAAACCGAGCCAAATTGGAACGCCTCATTGGTACGTGCAGTGCGAGCGGGTCAGCACATCGCTCAAGGTGGACCCCTCCCACTCCCCCCCAATACCAGTCACGCAGCTGGCTATCCCCCAATGTTCTTCATTGGATGCGTTTATTACGTTGTGTTCCCTTGTACATTCCTTTTGCCTGGCCGCCACCGCGCATTCCGGCCACGACGACATCTTAAGCAGCACGGACGGCAGCTGGGGCTTTTGTACTAGACATTCCGAAGGCTTCCAAGGCGCGTTAGATTTTAAAATTAAAAGCATCACTTTCCTTGAAAATCTTCACTTTTCGTCAATGTTTTGTACAGGACATGATTGAAGCGTGTACGCTTTCCATCAGTTCGGCTCATCCTGATATCATCATCATCCTGATGCCTCACCGTCTGGCTGCTTACGCGCCCTCCCGGGATCTTGCTTTTGTTCGCTACCTACGCTCCCCATAAAGGGTTAGTTCTGCCCGCGACCACCAGTCATCCATCATGCCGCGAAAAGCGTCAACAGCGCCGGAAACTTGCGAAAACATCTTGTGGATCTCAAAGGTACGTGCTTGGTGGCATGTACTCATCCAATGCGCAGGTCAGGTCCGAATGGCCGAGTCTGTCTGCACGCACAAGCGTCGGATGCACCTCGCCGAAGCGGCCCAACCGTCGCCAGCAAACCCCATACCGCGAGCGCCGTTACGACCCACAGCGTCCCACAGGCTGTGAAACTGGCCATGGTATGTGGTGCGTGGCAAGTACTCTGCCGGAGGTGGGTGTGTAGGAAATGTGCACCTGAGGCTCATACGGCGGGAGCATGTTGACCTGAGTGGGTTAAGTCGTCGCCAACAGGTTGAAGACTGGAAATCTACATGTGGGCAACGCGTTGAGTTTTCATGCTAGAAGTTGGACGTTTGTAGGCCGCCAGTCGGGTAGCCTTGACCGTGAACACTGAAGGATTTGGCAGATTGATACGCGCGTGCGGCAAATGCAAGATTTGTCGGCAAGTTTTCACACTAGATATTGCTCGTCCTATATTGTGCACTTCCCATAACCATTAATGGATTGTGTCCTGCAATGGATTTCACTCCTGCGTCGGGTAGTTTCGTTTCTTTAGTGCATTGTTTTCGGTTGGGCAGGTTCAGAGTCGAGATGCACACGCGCTGACAAAATCCTTATTAATTTGGTGCGTTATGTTGGTAGCTAACGCCACTTGAGAGATAAACCTTGATTAACTGCTTAATATTCATCGCTCCTTTCTAGTCATGCATAGCTTCGCCCGGAACACGTTTAGGTTAACTCGTGGCCCGGCCACAAATGATAAGTACCTAATGACAATGCGTCTGAACGGATAATGTCTCATCCATCATACACGGCTCAATGAGTCGCTGATAGAGCTTAATGCTACCAAAGACTCCACGCTTCGAATGTTTGTCCTTGCATTTTTAATTTTAGTTGGTGCTGATTATTTGCTTTCCCTCCCTGCCTAACCGTATTGCATGATGTTAAGGAGAAATAGCTCAGGCCATTCAAAACCAACTTCATAACACCGCCTGCCATGCGGGAAGTCAATAATTTGATGCCCTATGTGAAGCAGCCGCGCTACCATTTGTACTTCAATGCAGAGCACAGCCGTGAGTGCTACCACGATACCTGGCCACGCGCTGTCGAGCGTGATGTTTTGTCGAAGCAATTTTCCGAAATATCGTGTCGTATATTGCATATCCGTACCCACAATGCCGTTTGCCGTCAGGGGCTAGGGGCATGCCCAATGCCCTATCCGTACCCACATGAAAGTAAAGCAATGCGGTTGAGACAAAGGAGTGTGTGCAGGCATGCCCGTTTGTAAAAATGATTTTTTTCTTTTATGGTGAAGGGTTACGTTTTTTTGCGGCTTTGAGACGTTGATGACCTCTTAGGTCTGGTAGCACAACGCATTTTGGTAAAATGTGACGTTAGTCACCCTGACGATAACACATGGCAAGTGCAAATGTGCACCATTGGTTTAACATGGAAGACGCATAATTTGCTGATTAACAAAAATGGTCAGCTGGAGGTAACAGCGAGCTTTTTTGATAGTTGCGGATAGTCTCAGTGAAACGAAACAAGCATACTTATATTCTGCAAATAACAGCTGGTTACACTGGTGAAAGCGCGTGTCAATGCGGGCGCACGTGTCATCGGCGGACAGCATCCGCGCTTGCTGCCGTGATGGCATGCTGCTCCATGTTGACAACGTCTTCCTATCAGATCTTATTCCAGCGTTATTGCACATCATCAGCAGCAGCTTTGCTTCCGTGGTGATACTATGCAAGTGAGCAATATTTCTCGTCGGGCCAAGTGTTAGATCCAACCACGTTAGAAATGTTCAAACCAACTCCAGCTATCATCAGAAGTCACCCAAGCAAGACTGTTCTCAGGATCGACTCATAACCGCAGTGTATGAGCTGCAATAATATGCTTTTTATCTGTTAGGGGACTGTACAGAAACGTTCAGGGATTCCAGCAGTAATAGTGCATCATCTTCACCTGATGCCAAGGCACCGCATGTGTCAGACAATGTAATCGCTATTGCTGTCGAATGTGTACTGCTGCACTGTTGTAAGTGAATCGGGCGCTGCACGGGTGCTGTGTTCCAACGAATTTTTCGTCCTGCAGTGATAACAAACCACTAATAGTGCGATCATTGTCAACACTGTCTTGGGGCAGCTGGGCTGGCTGAGCGCGGGTAGGCTAACAGTATCGAGCATGCGTACATAAGTGTGATTACATGGCCACTAAAAAGTCAGCTCTACTAGCAACACTCTTACAGTTAACATGCGCTGGACACGACATTGATATGAGGGGTGCTTCACTTGCTGCACGAACTGAAGCCTGCAGGGCCGCTGCTCGTCCGGAGACGCAACAGTTCTGAGCAGCGTCTCCGGAGCTGCTGCACGCTCGCAATGCTTGTTCAGTGAAATAAGAGGCGACAAAGCATCCCCAATAGGATGAGCCATCCTGTTAGCATATTTGAGGTGCGGCTGAGGATAATTTTCTTCAATAGTGCGTTGAAGTGTTTTCTGTTCTATTTTATACCAACTGTAATGCGTATTTTTGTCGATGAAATTTTGGTATGTTGCGAATTTCATCAACTTCAGCTCGGGTAATGTTGCGACAAGGAGACGAAGGTATGAGCTTGCAATAGCGGGAAGGAGAGAGGGTTACACGACTATAATGATTTGCAACTGAAAACTCATTTACTGCGTCCCATGTACGCAATGTCTTCTGAATGGCTTGCCACAAGCTTGCATATTTTTGATTTATTTACTTATACTTGTGTACCCCGTTTTTGTCTGCGTTTATGCTTATGCGCATTAATTCCTGTAAAATGCTAAAATGGCACGTGTATCCACCCCCTTCCTATTGATGATGGCAACCTTCGTAACTTGTGGGATGGCCATTGAGGGGCACGAGCATCCAGCTGCCGACTTATCCCGTGAAAACGTATACAGCTCGCCGTTACATTAACCATTTGCTGGTCCCTTTCGCGGTGCATGATAAACGTGTATGAGTGTGGCATCTCAAAAAGGCAATCGAAGCACCCAGATCACCACTCGAGTGCATAGGCCGCTCGCCGCACAAGCCGGCCTTCCTCCTAGTTCTCATCACCCCGTAAAGGTGGCGCCACTGCAGCCGGCTCCGGTCGCGCAGACTCCATGACCTGCCCCACTGCTGACGTCACGCCGCCCTGGAGCCGAGGACGCCGGTGAGTGCGAGGTCCACAGTCGTGCGAGAACACCTCGAGCGGCAGCAGACTGCGCTTGCCATGACGCCGTGTGGGCAGGTGACGATGCTGCTGTTTCTGCTGCTGGCCTGGGTGGCGCCGCTGCGGGCAGACCTCTCCACCCACAGGGTCGGCCTGCTGATGCCACGCGTTGTACCGCCCCAAGTAAGAGATGTGGGCTCTGATGGGTATGTGCACCGCTGTGGCGTTAACGCTCCCGCGATGGCGTGATCTCAGAAATATTTGCTCTGTTTTTTTTCGTGTGAATTACCAGCTTCATCAAACGCTTTGTTCTAAAAAGTTCAGCACGCAGGCTTCTGCAATTTGTAAACGGCCTCCGCAAATTCAAAGATCTTGTTTGTCATAGCCCTCGGGTAATAAACTTCTTTGTCGAGGTTGTTTGGGTATCACTTTAGTTCAATTACTCGATAAACTATGTTGTTTCGACATGTGCCATTTTCTTCGCCCTTTTATGCCGCAGCTAGGACCACAGCTAGGAACACAGCTAGGACGATGATATTCTATTTTTCCGATGCATATAACGTAAAGCGAGCCCGCACGCGCAAAGGAAGAAACCTTCACGGAAATAATATTTGACTTTGCACTACCTGGTTTGTCATGTCCTGGATCGCGTCAAAACTTGATATCTGGTGAGTGGTAACGAGAACTATCCCACGTCACTTGTTTTGTTTCTGTACCAACTTTGCTCCTTGACACTATGGGCTGGGGTTTATGCACGGAAGGCTCGAGCCGTATGACCTAATTTGACTTGTCATAAGCTGCGGACGCAGGCGGGCTACTTGTGGCGTTTGACAGCGCGCCACGGCTTATACAATACCGCCTCCTCTGCTTGTTTGAATGGTCAAAGGTCCATTGCAATGACGTTTAGTGCGAGCAGCATTAGCCCGATGCAAGAGGTCGAAGGTCCATTGCAATGGCGCTCAGTGCGAGTAATATCAGCCCGATGCAGTTATGTGCGTGTTACGCACATAGCGCCGTCGAGGGTTAATGCTTAACTTACACGAAAAGGCGGCGGCCATGACTCACTAGCCTCCAGTTGTTCTTTGCCCACGTTCGCTTTGAACTCTTGCTTGCTAAAACTGTTGTTATCTCTGGCAGAGTACAGTTTCTACCTTGGTGTGATGCCGCCTCAATTATAAGGACACTTCTGCTTTCAGTCATAGATCCGACGCGTCCAATTTGGTCGGTGATACCAGTTTTCTCGAAATCCTTCAGAATGGCCAAGAATTTCGCTTTGATATAGCCGTTCCGACAGAATAAATGTAATTCAGACCTCCAGCTCACCGTGCACGGCATTCGGACCTCCTGCTCACCACGCACGGCATTCGGACCTCCTACTCACCATGCACGGCATTCGGACATCCTGCTCACCATGCACGGCATTCGGGGCTCCTGCTCATCATGCACGGCATTCGGACCTGGTGCTCACCATGCACGGCATTCGGACCTGCTGCTCACCATGCACGGCAGTTAACGCAAATTATGGCCCAAAGCGTCGGGAACACTTTTGCCTCGTTCATCCCGTCCAGTGGCAGGATTTTCAGCTGGCGATGTGAATAGAGACGGTTGTTAGGATCGGTGGGATGGTCTGACCTTGGTCAGTGAACTGCTCTACACGACGAACATACCTTTCCGTGGATTGGTGAGCTTCCAGCTACGACAAAAGACAACTAGAAAAATATAAACGGCTCAAAACGTCCAACAGCCATGTACCATTCCAATTGCCACAATATTACTAGCAGTGATGTGGCTAGACAGACGCATTGATCGTGTTCTGCGAGCTTGTAAAAGCAACATTACAACAAAAATAGTTGTTAGGTTTTGCTATTGAAATGTATATTAAATTGTCTTTACTCTTCACTGCGTTATCCCAATCACTGTGCACTATTGTCCTCAACCACTTCAGTTACTCAAGATGTTATTTATAATTCGGAATGATAACAGCTGGCACCGTCATCGCGACCAACTAATTTGTCTTAGTCCATGTATGATTAGCTCAAAAATTTGTGGCCCTCGTTCTGCCAACTTTGAAATTCTGTTTTGAAAAGTTTTAAAATCCCTGAGAATATCCAGAGGGCCGCATAACATGGCGAATTTTAATTCATTAGGGGCATGATTTCCTGGAAACTCTACGAGTACTGGAAAACAGCACACCACAATGGCGTGAGACATCTTCAGCGAAACAAAATTTATTGCACATGCTAACATCCACACCAACGATACAACAGGGGACTCGAAACAGGAAACTGGAGAATGTACTTTATCATCGCGTTCTATCATTTTGCGGTGAATTCTCACCGACTATGGTGTGAAAGAAATACCACATCGGAGAGGTTGTAGAAACGGTCGGTCAGCAGCAACTTAGAAAGTGTCGATCGCGGATCTTGATGTTGTTGGATATAGAGTGTCGGCTCTAATCTGCGTCTCACACTAGAATAGTTACCAACCAACCTAATGCAGCCCAAGAGCCTTGTTCCTCTGTGACCAATTACCTACAACGTAAATTTGTCGCATAATATATAAGTTTATATATATATATATATATAACAATAAAAATATACAAATGATCGTTTATATATATATATATATATATATATATATATTGTAGGTAGGTTATTTTCAGCAGAAGAACCTTATCTTGTAAATCGTAACCATCGACCCGTTGCTATGAAACCTCTTGCTGCGTTACGGTTGTCGTGGTCTCAACCTGTCTACAGTTTCCTTAGGTGCGGGCCGCCCTGCAACGGCGGGCTCAAACGCAGGAGAATACTTCCGGCTGATTCGGTGGACTGGTCCCGGGGTTTTTGCCCTCTGACACCTAACTCGGTGGACTGGCCTCTGGGTCTTTGCCCTCTGACACCTAACTCGGTGGACTGGCCTCTGGGTCTCTGCCCTGTGGCACCTAACTCGGTGGACTGGCCTCTGGGTCTCTGCCCTGTGGCACCTAACTCGGTGGACTGGCCTCTGGGCCTCTGCCCTGTGGCACCTAACTCGGTGGACTGGCCTCTGGGTCTCTGCCCTGTGGCACCTAACTCGGTGGACTGGCCTCTGGGTCTCTGCCCTGTGGCACCTAACTCGGTGGACTGGCCTCTGGGTCTCTGCCCTCTGACACCTAACTCGGTGGACTGGCCTCTGGGTCTCTGCCCTGTGGCATCTAACTCGGTGGACTGGCCTCTGGGTCTCTGCCCTGTGGCACCTAACTCTGCGGACTGGCCTCTGGGTCTCTGCCCTGTGGCACCTAACTCGGTGGACTGGCCTCTGGGCCTCTGCCCTGTGACACCTAACTCTGCGGACTGGCCTCTGGGCCTCTGCTCCCTGACACCTGATTCTGTGTACAAGTCACAGGACTCCTGTCCCCTGACACCGGATTCTGTGGACAAGTCACAGGTTTCCTGCCCTCTGACACCTGATTCTGTGGAACAGTCCCAGGGCTCCTGTCCTCTGACCGTGGACCGGTCCTGCGGTACCTATGCGTGGAAGTATATCGAACACCGTCCGCCCTATCCGCACCGGACTGCCGAGTGCCGGATACTGTCCGAGAACGGATCCCGTGCCACCGGTCCGGGCCTGATCCTCGTGGTCCGTTGGATCAACCCTTGCCGTATCCAGCTGAGCCGATTCAAGCCCGGTGTTGGCGTGCTCGATGCGTGACAGCGTGACAGCGTGACGTGACTATCAGGAAGCGGAGCATGAGCCGAAGCCCGCTCCGCCACGCGACGCTTACGCCCCCACCCGTTGTTTACAGCCGGAGACGTACTTCTGCACCTCGCTGAAGCTGGAGGAGGATAAGGATCTGTATGTCGGTAAGGGCGGTGTATGCATGGGACGGTCGATGACGGTAAAATATTGGTGCGATAGCGCGTCGTGATCTCCCTAGCGCTGTCTAATTGCTAGTCACGTGTTACAATGGATGTGTTACCCTGGAGACCAGAATGTTTGGATCCTTTTCACTTTAGGCCACCGATGAGGAGGATAGTGCTGATGATAAGAATCGGTATGGGTTAGGATCGCGCGAATGTGGAACAGCATGTGATTGTAACATTAGCTGTGCGGTGGGATGGCGTTGTCTCCTTTGCGCTGTCCAGTTATTCGTCGCGTTTGACACTGAATACGCCCAGCGTCATTCCGTTCCTCATCCGCTAGTGTGTTCCTGAGCTCGGGACGCGGGAGGGGAGCACAGTCAGTCCTGCGGTCGTTGACCGACAGAGGTCGGCGGGATCACTGGCGCGGCCCCGAGACCTCCATCGGAGGTGCGAGAGAGTGACGCGGGGACACAGTCCGTCCTGCGGTCGGTGACCGACAGAGGTCGGCGGGGTCTCTGGCGCGGCCCCGAGACCTCCATCGGAGATGCGGGAGAGTGACGCGGGCACACAGTCCGTCCTGCGGTCGGTGACCGACAGAGGTCGGCGGGGTCTCTGGCGCGGCCCCGAGACCTCCATCGGAGGTGCGGGAGAGTGACGCAGGCACACAGTCAGTCCTGCGGTCGGTGACCGACGGAGGTCGGCGGGGTCTCTGGCGTGGCCCCGAGACCTCCATCGGAGGAGCGAGAGGGTGACGCGGGGACACAGTCCGTGCTGCGGTCGGTGACCGGCTGGGGAGGCCGGCGCGGCACGGCCCCGAGACCTCCATCGGAGGAGCGAGAGGGTGACGCGGTCACACAGTCCGTCCTGCGGTCGGTGACCGGCAGAGGCCGGCTGGGTCACTGGTGCGGCCCCGAGACCTCCATCGGAGGAGCGGGAGGGTGACGCGGTCACACAGTCCGTGCTGCGGTCGGTGACCGACAGAGGCCGGCTGGGTCACTGGTGCGGCCCTGAGACCTCCATCGGAGGAGCGGGAGGGTGACGCGGTCACACAGTCCGTGCTGCGGTCGGTGACCGGCTGGGGAGGCCGGCGCGGCACGGCCCCGAGACCTCCATCGGAGGAGCGGGAGGGTGACGCGGTCACACAGTCCGTCCTGCGGTCGGTGACCGGCTGGGGAGGCCGGCGCGGCACGGCCCCGAGACCTCCATCGGAGGAGCGGGAGGGTGACGCGGTCACACAGTCCGTCCTGCGGTCGGTGACCGGCTGGGGAGGCCGGCACGGCAGCCCCGTCACGGGCGGACGACGCCGGCCGCCACCGTTAGCCGGCCGCCACCCTGCCAGTCACGGCGCACGCAGGCGGCGCCGCGGCACCGGCCGGGGCCGCCGCCGGGTCGCGATCCGCGCCGCTCCGATGCGCGTCGCCGACCCGTGGTCCCGCCTCAGCGGCACCGCACGGCGCCGGAGAGTGGCGAAACACGGCCGGCGAACGTGGGTCAAAGGCGTGCAGAAGAGAACGGCGCCGGCCACAACCGGAGGCGTGCAGAAGAGACCGCCGACTGGAGCCGGCGGGGCCATAATAACACTGAGGACTCCCTAGTGGAAGTGGGTCACGAATTCAGGATGGCAATGCTTGGATTGGAATAAAAATATCATAGGAGGAAAAACCTAGTGGTAGATTTAGTTTTGCAGCTCATTTGAGTGCAGGTCATGCACCGTAACAATTGTTCTAAAAGCGAATGTTACGCACCATGTTTGCTGCCGCCACCGAAGGAGAGGCAAATGTGGGTCCTTGATCCCGCGTATCTATTTATTATTATTCATTCTGGCTTGGCTCTCACCTAAGCTGCAGCAGCATCTGATCTCCGGTTCCAGACAGTGACTGCTTTGGAATTATTGCAGCGGTAATCTTGTTTACGCTGCAACGCGACAAGACTTCTCCCTCTGTTTTCGCATGTCTACTTTCATTCCTCGGTCTCAGTGGAGGGGCAGGATGGTGCATTCGGGCCCACACTAGCTATCCTGACACTCTTCGGGTCCCTGCTACCTTGACACATTCAAATCAGGCAATTCAGACTAGCGGCACATCCACCCGCATACCAGGACATACATCATGCTGCATCCCTGCACCATTTCGTTTCACCGGGGACATGCTGCAAGCATTAGTCATGACTCGCCCTCAATGCCGGACTAGCCCCCCCCCCCCCCCACACACACACTCCCCGAGCACTCTCACAGTGCTGGATCAGGTTCCCGTTGCGGGGAAGATTCTGCGTCAGAGGCGACCCCGCATGGCCGTAGTGCCACCAGTCTCTCCTCGGTTCCGTAGACCCGCAGCAGTCCGCGATGGCCTACAGAGTCTCAGTCTGACCACAGCAAACTAGACCGGAGGCGTAGTTTCGCATGATTCCATCACTTAGCGCCAGGTCTGCAGCTATTTATGCGCGGTGTTTTCTTGAGGCTTTTCAGAACGTAACGCACCATCACGCCTCGTTATAACTCGTCACAGCCTTGCACGTCTCATCAACAGTGCAAGTGGGTCACCTGACGCGAGTGTGTCGCTCCCGTGAACTGTGTGTCAGGTCAGTGACCAACATCTCGTCCCGAAAGTGGGGTCAGGTCAGTGACCAACGCCTCGTCTCGGTAGTGAGGTCAGGTCAGTGACCAACACCTCGTCTCGGTAGTGGGGTCAGGTGAGCGACGAGCACCTCGTCTCGGCAGTAAGGCCAGGCCAGTGACCAGCATCTCGTCTCGGCATTGAGGTCAGGTCAGCCACCCTCACCTCATCTCGACAGAAAGGTAGTGACCAGCACCTCGTCTCGACGGAGCGGCAGTGACCAGCACCTCGTCTCGGCATTGAGGTCAGGTCAGTCACCATCACCTCGTCTCGACAGAGAGGTAGTGACCATCACCTCGTCTCGACAGAGCAGTAGTAACCAGCACCTCGTCTCGGCAGTGAGCTTCGAGCCAAACGCGACAATGGAGACGGCTCACCACATGCTGTTGTACGGCTGCGAGCTGCCCGGCCTGACGGAGGCCGTCTGGAACTGCGGAGACATGGCCAACCGTGACCCGGCCAAGAGGACCGGCCCTGTCTGCCGCGGCCGATCACAGGTCAGTCTCACGTCACAGGGCACGAGTCAGGCTGGGGGCACAGGTCACAGATCAGTCTCGGGTCACAGGTCACAGGTCAGTCTCGAGTCACAGGTCACAGGACAGTCTCGGATCACAGGTTACAGGTCAGTCTCGAGTCACAGGTCACAGGACAGTCTCGGATCACAGAGCCTTCACACGAACCGTCCAGAGCCTTCGCACGAATTAAAACAGCATACTAAGAGTGACATTTCATCGCAAAATCACCCGCTGTTGACATCAGTCATAGCTCACAAATCACAAATTGTAAATCACAGACGAATATGGGACCTCCAACCGTTGATTAGATTCGTCCCAGGTCACAGAGCACCGGAATTAGCACGAACCGCGCTCATAGACCATAGCGCGCCTCACGCTGTTGCGCTAACGGTGCCAGTTCCCGGCAGACTTTATACCGGAGGTCGCCGACGCAGCACTAATCCCCAAATAAGCGACCTCGCACGGCTTACACGACGACCGATGCTTATCGATGGGTTGTCCGGTATGTGCACACCAGGCAGGATAGGTTATGGGTGCTCCGGCACGTGTATGCAGTCAGGACAGGTCACAGGTGCTTCTACACGTATACGCCAGGCAGGACAGGTCACGGGTGCTCTGACACGCATGCGCCAGGCAGAACAGGTGACGGGTGATCTGACATATTGACACGTATGTACCAGGCGGGGCAGGTCATGGTGTTCCGACACATGTGTGCCGGACTGGGCAGGTCACAGGTGCTCCGCCACGTGTGTGCTAGGCGGGGCAGATCACGGGCGCCCTGACACATGGGTGCCAGGCAAGACAGGTCATAGTGCCGGCCACACCAAATCAAAATTGTTGGTCATTCTGGAGGATTTCGAGAAAACTGATATCACCGACCAAATTGGACGCGTCGGAACTATGACTGAAAGCACAAGTGTCCCTATAATTGAGGTGGCATCACATCAAGGTAGAAACTAAGGTTTTGGGTGCCGGCCACAATACACGGCGCCGCAGCGCCTCTACGGCTGACCGGCCTGACGACACCAGCGTCACCACGCTGTATCACCGTCCCAGCCGCGCTCCACCCAAGCTGACACGTAGCGTGATGTAGGCCGTTCTGTGCTGCTCGGACGCGCAAGTCGCCAAAATCCCAGGGATCATGGACAGGTGCACCGGAATGATCACGAATGTCCGCAGATGGTCATCTGGCTGTCTGTCTGAAAACTGAGTCTTTGAACATCTGTCGGCCCTTGTTTCTTCACCTTGGTTTTAGAACCTTGAAATTATTGTAAGATTACGTTTGACAAGGACGTGATTCCTCATATGGGAGTATTTCACAAGTCATTATCACCTTTGTGGACAGATATGCCTTGTGCTCCACTTGATACTCGCTGTAGCTGCAAAACCTTGTTTGCATACCAGCTGTCTAACTATGGTTGATTGGTTAATGCATCCTATTACTTCTCTATCGTCCTAAAGTACAGGGCCGTCAGTGCCATTTAGATCTTTTGGCAGCAAATATATTCCATAACAGCGTAATGCATTGTTGCTGAATCTTCCGAATTCGTGACCTTATTTCTACGGTCTTTGTGGTGTGGGAATTCCTTCAGGCGGAAACACATTTGACTTATCACTTTCCCGTCCTCAGCAGTGCCGCTCACTTTCGTCCATTGATTAATGGTCCATACAGATTAAGATGATCCGTACAGACCGGTGATTTAATGGGGATGAGGTCCAGTTGAGGGGCATTCACATTTTTCTTGCGGGGGGGGGGGGGACTCAGACCAATGCCAAGCTGATTCTTGTCTTCGTATCAGTAGGACCGCTCATGTAAACTGACTTGATAAATTGTGCACAGTGGTGGAAGTGAATGGGAATAGAATCGAACGTAGAATATGTAAGTTCCTTCTATGCATCGTTGTCGTAAATGCAAAGGAAGCAGAGGCTCCTCCGCCACCTGTCGCTGGAGCGAGCCGCGGACAGACGGTCCCACGGCCACAGCACACTACACTTCACTCTCGATCGCGATTGGGGGGCCCGCCCAACCATCACAAATGCAGTTGATAACCTACCTTTGCACGCATTTGGATTGGACTTCAGTCTCTTTTCCCGATTTGAACTGGCTGCTCCCACTGAAAGGCCACAGCGTAAAATGGCATATAGCTGCTTTCATTGTCTTTGAGTTGGCGCTGTGCGACCGATGTGTTGCGCGCATGGTTTCGCTCGCATCGGTTTACTGTTGTCACAGGTGATCTACGCGTGGGCGAAGAACGCACCCAAGCTCGTGCTGCCGAAAGGTGTTGCATTCCACCTTGGGAAGAATACAGATGTGAAATATCTCACCTTGCAAGTTCATTACGCGGACGTGTCATTATTCAAAGGCAAGTGTCGTGCAACAATCAATTCCTATTCTCCAACGAAATCCGTCTATGGTCGTGCACAAACTTCATAACATGAGCTGTTGGCAATGGTCAGGCACGGTACTGAAATAAACCTCTATTTTGTATCAGCCTTTTCTATCTAGCCTTTTCTTTGATTTACAGATGGAAAAACAAAAGACGACTCTGGCGTGTTCCTCACATACACCGAAACTCCGTACGTATCGCAAGAAACAATCAACTTCTGAAGATATCATTCATTCGCACGTATGCTTCAGCTCACCCTTAGGGTGCCTCGGAGATGACTTTTGCGCATGGGTTCCCAAAGGCAAAGGCACCGGAAATGACTGAGCAATACAAGCACATAGTTTGTTGGCCTCGACCACAACCGCAACGTGCTTGCCGCTGCCCGTAGCCTAATTACTTCTTCCAAGCCGCAGCTGAAGTCCAGTGAAGCGTTCTGCTTTGCCAGCTGGCCATCCGCCTGTTCTCAAGCAGCGCTCCCACAGGCAGCCCAAGTCGGCAGGCGTCCTTCTGATGGGCACTGGCGGCTACATCTTCCCGTACTCGCAGGCGCACATGGAGACCGCCTGCGACATCGCCGAGGACAAGCTCATCCACCCATTCGCCTTCCGCACGCACACGCACGCGCTAGGTACGTGCGAGCCGCGCCGCTGGCCGTCCGGCTGCTGGTGACGGACCACGTGCTCCCTGCTCGAGGGCTTGACGAGAGCACGCCTGTATGCGCCTGTCCAGCCGGATGGAGCAATGCGTTAAACTGTGCGTGCACACAGAATCATGCGTAACTTGGTTTTGGTTTCCTCTTTTTCTTATAGTATGGTTTGCTCGGAACATACTATGTGACGTTCTTGCTATCACTCCCGGCAGCCAGCTAGGACTAAGCACACTGCTCTCCAGTCAGCTATCACTCCCGGCGGCCGGCCAAGACTGAGCACACTGCTATCCTGTCAGCTATCACTCCCGGCGGCCGGCCAGGACTGAGTACACTGCTCTACAGTTAGCTATCACTCCCGGCGGCCGGCCAGGACTGAGTACACTGCTCTACAGTTAGCTATCACTCCCGGCGGCCGGCCAGGACTGAGCACACTGCTCTACAGTTAGCTATCACTCCCGGCGGCCGGCCAGGACTGAGCACACTGCTATCCTGTCAGCTATCACTCCCGGCGGCCGGCCAGGACTGAGTACACTGCTCTCCAGTCAGCTCGCGCCAGGGCAGCTTTGTTGCGAGCGCCTGAGCGGAATCGGCGCGGCGGCGCGGCCCGTTAGCGCTCCGAGCAGCTGGAAGGGTGGTCGGCGCATCACACCAGCCGCCACACGTGCCTCGTACCGCCGCCGGCACCGCGAGCTCCTAACTCTCTCAGGCCGGAGCTGGACCGTGACGTGGGGACGGGCCGCTGTCGGCAGGCGAGGTGGTGTCCGGCTGGCGTGTCCGCTACGCCGGCGGCCAGTACCAGTGGACGTTGATTGGCAAGATGAACCCGCAGCTGCCGCAGATGTTCTACCCGGTGCTGGACAACGTCACGCTGAGCCGCGGTGATGTCGTGGTACGTGTGCCCACGGCGGTGGGGAGAGAGGCTTGGACATGCAGGGAGAGCGAGGGAGGGGTAACGTGGCACGTCTGCCCACGGCGGCGGGGAGAGAGGCTTGGAAGAGCAAGGAGAGCGAGGGAGCGGGTAACGTCCGCTCCGCGGTGACGTTGCGTAGCAATAACGTTTGTTTTGCCTTTAAGCGAGCTAGAAATACGAAACAAATAGCGGTGATGTGGCGTGCCATGAAAGGAAGCCTTTCGGTATCTTTAGAGATTTTGCGTGACTTACAGTCACAACTGAGCGTGACGTTGCGATAAACAAAATGTCTGCATCCAAAGCTGCGTTTCAGTTACGCTCCATTTAAACAGCCCTCAACCCCCACAAGTAACGTGATTTGTGGATGGCCCCTGAGGTCTTTATTGCTCATACCAATCACGTCTGTCTGGCCCTTTATCATTACAGTAATATGCAAGTTGAAGTGTAAAACAGCTGGTTCGTAAACCTTGTTAAGATCTTTAAGTGGGCGGCTTAAATGTTTGGAGTGATTTTATTTTGGGTATAGCTTGGGCTCCCTGTTCTACGAATAGCTTCTGCGCCAATGAGTGTGGCTCAGCAAGCAGTGTGTTGCGAAAATCATAGCACATGTAAAGGGAACGTAACGGCTGCGAGCGCCCGCCCCACAAGTGGCCTGTCTACCGGCCGACCCGTCGTGCACTCGCCCCACAGGCGCCCTGTCTACCGGCCGACCCGTCGTGCACCCGCCCCACAAGTGACCTGTCTACGGGCCGACCTGTCGCTTGTCGTACGCCAGCCGCGGTGTGTGGCGCGGTAGGCAGCTCCGTGAGTTCGCCATCTCAGCGAGATGTTACGTTCACTGATCTCCGTGATTTCACATTTTCAGGCCGCCAGGTGTACCATGAGCAGCCACCGCGCCCGCGTCACCAAAGTCGGGTGAGTCCGTCCAAAAGCCGCATGTAGCCTAGCCTGCAAATGTTGAATGTCTTCCGGCGAGGCGGTTTGAGATGAACAGCATATCGTCCAGCAAAAATACTGCGTAAGATCTGCTAGACGGGGTACACATCTGGACCCAAACCCGTGATGCGAGGAGTGAGCTGAGCTGGTGCGGGGATTGGAAGCCACTAAAAATAGTTTTGTAAGATTCTGCAACAGGCGTTGCGTCAAGCGTAGCCATGGCGTTGATCACACCCACGACCGGGCTGGACCGGCATCCGATCAGGCTGGACCGGCATCCGACCAGGCTGGGCCGGCATTCGGGCTGCCCTCTCGGTGGCCGGCGTCACGTCACCTCGCCCGCCCGGCACTGCTCACACTCACACGGCTCACACGGCTCACACTCACACGGCTCACACGGCTCACACTCACGCGGCTTACACTCAAACGGCTCACATGGCTCACACTCAGGCGGCTCACACTCAGGCAGCTCACACTCAGGCGGCTCACACTCACACGGCTCACACGGCTCACACTCAAACGGCTCATACGGTTCACACTCACACGGCTCACGCTCATACGGCTCACACGGCTCACACGGCTCACACGTACACGGCTCACACTCACACGGCTCACACTCTCACGACTCACAAGGATCACACTGCTCGCACAGCTCACACTCCGCCACGTGCCGCAGGGCGACGGCGCGAGACGAGATGTGCAACTTCTACATGATGTACTGGACGGAGGGCACGCCACTGGCGCGCAGCAGCTGCTTCAGCTGGGGGCCGCCCTTCTCCTACTGGCACCGGCTGCCAATGGGGCTGCTACGGCTCTTCTCCTACCCGTGGCTCTCGCAGATCCCCGACGAGAACCGTGCCTCGACCATCGACGGCGAGGAGCTCCGCTCCTACCTGTTCGGCCGCATGCGCAACGACTAGCCGCTTGGCTGCCGGGTGTTCGATATGGGCGAATTGTGCTTCTGCGGCCGAGTGACGCACGACGGAGGCTTGGCCTTGGGCCAGAACCTGAGTGGAGATCGTGACATTTTAACTGACAGGGATGAGAGTCCGGTGTCTCAGTTTTGATACTTTGCTGCCCTTGCGATTTCTGGGTTAATTGGCAACGAACACGTGCTTGGTATCACAAAGCTGAGTGAACAGCCAGAGCTCTTGAACTGGTCGCAAGCATTTCTTGACATGTTACGAATTGGAGTGAGCTTGCCCATGCCGTGAAGTATGCCAGTCATATTCGCAGCTTTTCACAGTGCTTCATTGTACACAAGTGGAGGGCCATTTAAGCTTAAGCTAAATGTGACTTAAGTTTCAGGAATAGGCTGTACATTGGTTCTCCTTGTGGGCCGCCGTAATCACATGTCAGGCGGATAGCATCACGTGTGTTAAGCACGTGAGCCAAGCACAGTCGAAAACAACGCCGCGTTTCCTTTTAACGTGTGGAAATGGCAGCGATGCACCGCATAGATCTGCTTGTGAGGCATGAATAACATGATACAAATGTAGTGTAAGCCAGTCCCTGCCATTCTCGCCGAGGTGTGACGACATCAAGGCGCTGGAAGTCTGTAACTAAGTGCAAAGGTCTTATGCTAAGTCATCGACCTCCCTTATATGAGGAGGTACTGGTTAAGCGACGTCATAGAGCTTTCTTGGTCTAAAGTTTTGAAAACGCTTTTGAACTGTTTTCTTAAGAGGCTTTAGAACATGCCATACCGTTTGATAAGGAAGCGACTGTTTGCAATGGCACGCAATCCCACTAGCATTTACTAAGCAAAACACGCTTATCAAACTAAGGAAAAGTTTGTAATAATACACAAACCCGTTTATAGAAATGTGTCTTCAGCCGATGCCTTCATTTCATCTAGCTTTTGGAATAATACCAGGCCATGGATCGGTGGAGCATCGACGTGGATCGGCTGAGGGGGTCAGAATTATTGTTTGCACCGGTGTCGTGTGGAGAAAGGTGGGCTTTGATGACCATTTAATGCAATAATTATCCAACGATGACTATATACAGGCAAGCAAGCCCTCTGTTAGCAATGCATGCTTATCAACGGGGACGCAGCCAGGATATAGGGGCTGTTTTTGTCACGTTTGCGTCAGATAAATCACCAACTCTTTCTTAAAAGTTTTGAGACGTTCTGGTAGGAAGATAGCTGGCATCATCATTGCGTGTGCGCGGCTAAGCGGTGTTGCGGCTGAGACTACCCAACCAGCACAATTTTCTGTGCTGCCGTGAATTGAGTGGAGTTGCATCGCAGCGTTGAGTGAATATTTCAGTGAACAAGAGCTGCTGGATTGTCGACCAGTCTGCAGGATGGCAGGTCAAGATGCGTGCACAGAGCTGCCTCCCTATCTAAGGATGACGACGAATAAATCCAACCTTCAACTGCCGGAGAGGCCCGGTCGCGCAAGCATTAACTGTCGTTGCGCTCGATGGTCAAACTGTTGGAAAGGAAGACATCTGTCAGTCTCAAGATAACCTTACATTTCCATCCTACTCGCATGCATAGGGCAATTTTGGCTTGCTGGTTGAATTTCTACCAATGTTTATATTTTGGCGATAGAATGTGTCATTCTGCTGTAGAAGTTGATGTTTTCATGACCAGAAATGCAGATTTTTACACCAGCATATACGACATAAATAAAAGAGGATGGATGCCAACAATTTTAACCCGTACCCTGATTCGCCGCTTTTTGTGACACGAACTTGTGAAGGGGGGGGGGGAGGATTTCCTGACGTTTGCAAACTAAGGAAGGTAAAGCCTCGAAAACAAAACAATCAAGCAGTAAACTGTCTTAAGCGAGATTCCGTGATTGGTAAGAAGTCTCATGTTGTTGACTGACCCCCACTAGACCAAGTTGTAGGTCAAATGTTCTTGATAACCAAACATCAGCTTTGCATGTTCACAGAAAATGAACCATGCAGTACAGTGATATAGACCATAAAGAGGTGTGTCCCTGGTTTGATTATGAGCACAATAGCATCTAGTTTTATCTGTTTGGAACCTATATTTATAACGAAGAGTTTTGTTCATGTAACATTGCCAACCCTCCGCGCGCGGTCCGCAGGATCGTCGCTTGCCACCCACCGCACCCGCCGGCCTTGAATCGTCTTGCAGTGGTCGTAAAAAGACATAACTTCTCCGAAATCAGAATTGATTGGGGTACTGTTTTGGTGTCAACACGCGCACAATGGATACCCCAGAGGCTACCAAAGATTTAAGCAAGACTGCACAGTATGCCGCATTGGTATCCTCAGAAAACCGTAGGGGGGGTGGGGGGGGGGGTCGCATCACCTACCCTCCCCCTCCCGTCATGGCGAGTGACTTGTTCGGAAAGAGCTATCTGCCTGATGTGAAGTTAATGAAAAATTTCGATACAATTTAGTTGGGATACGGCCAAAGGCGCCCACCAGTCAAAACATGCCGCGCCAGGCTTGGAGCACGCTTAAGGTATGGTGGATAGTTTAATGACGGCTGAGGTGGGGCTCAAAGCGCGCACGTGATTTTCGTATGGGGCATGGCCTCGTGGCGGCCCGCATAATTGACGTCATTCCCATTGCCGCTCGCTATTGGTTTAAAATCTGCCATGCATTCTGCTGTCCTGGCTATCTAGGTCCTTCATAGTTTTGTTTTTTTTGCGGTCAAAAGTAAATCCTGCCAAAGATCGAGTTTAGGCGTGAGGCCCCGGCAAGTCTCGAGGGTGGAAGAAGATCTCTGCCGCGATTGGGCTATCTCATTAGCTTAGAGCAGGTGCACCTGCTTTCTTAGCAGCAGCAGTTATCCTGACATTCGTTCAAGGGCAGTGTATGACTGAACGTTTCAGTTATGTGCATGATATTTAAAATTGCAGTGATGAAAGAGACTTTCGGTGATGGGCTGATTACTGATGACGCTGCAGGACATGTACTGAATGACCATTCTGTCATAGGGTATCGCTTTGCGCTACTGGCGACAATTTTTCCTCCAAAAATTTGGCCGGCGTCATCACTTTTACCACCCCTGGTAACCTTTTAACATTCATTGAACGTCTTTACGGATGCAGCGGTGAATGTGGTGGAGGACTTACCCCTCATGTAGATGCAATGATATTCATGTTTATGAGAGTTGCGATACATGGTTCGTTTGATTTTCGCAGCCTTGTGCCGCAGCAAAATGTCTGCAGCGTGTCATCATAGCGGTTGTTCCTTCCCGAGATCGCCTCTCTTGTTATTGGGAGCATGTCTCTATGCCCTGGATATCTCAGGATTTGCTGCCCAAACCGTAAGCACAGCGACTCCTTCCTGTCTACAAGTGTTTCCATTTCAGAATCTGTAGTAGCTCTTGTTATACCCGCCAATGATTTTGAGAGCCCGCTTCTGTACTTGCTCAATTTATTGGGCTTGGTGGCCGGTGAGCCCGGGATGAAAAACAGTCGCGGAGCATTCAAGCAGTGGTCGAACATATGTGATGTAAATTTTTACCATTTGATCCTGTGGTGAACGGAATTTCTTCATCAAGCGAAGCATATATAAAGCCTTCGAACCGCTCTCAGCAATTTCATCAACATGTGCCTACCAACTCACATCGCTGGACAGTGTTACTGCTGCAGGCTTGGTACTGCTAACAATTGGTAAGCTGATCCCATTTATTGCGACGTCCGGGAGTATCAGGGGTTTCTTAGCAGTAAAAACGTGCATTGCCTGACAGTGTCAGGCTGACACTTCTCAGTATTAATCACCATCTTATTTGCAGCCATCCACATACTGACAATGCCTTCGACGCCCCCTTGCAAAGACCAGGTGGTGCAAGCGATGCGTCGCCGGTGAGCCCGTAATGAGAGCATTTCTTGTCCTTGGTATGTACAAATTTGATTGGGAGCGTGGCATTCAGCCCATAAGGCCGAATGTGGCCCTTGTATGGCTTATTCTTGGCGAATGGGCCTCCATGTGCGTGTAGCTATGTCTCACCGTTATATATTCTCCTTCATCCAATAGCCCTGACATGATCATGACGGGCCGAAAGACCTATAATCCAAACAACCTTATCTTAAACAGCCTAAACAACCAGCGGCCGGCGACGCGCGCTCAACCGCCGCACTCACGGTGGCCAGATGACGTTACTGGGGATAACGCGTGGATCGCTGGCGAGGTTCGGCTGAGTGGTGATTCTGTGGTCGACGAGCCTGCCGCCGGCTCGCTGGTGCGTGTCCGCTCGACAGCTCGAGTGGTGCTTCGTGAGGTAGTTCCAGCTGCTGGTCCGATGCAGTCGACCGAAGCTGGCGCTTCTGTCACGCAGAGCGCGCAGTGGTCGGTGCATGGCAGTCACGCGTGCACGTGTTAGTGCAGGTCATCCAGCGCAGGAATGGCTGCTGCTCTCGGCACAAGAGCCAGCCACTGTTGGCTGATTGGAGGGGTCGTGCTTGGAAAAGTTTGAGAGGTCAGCACGCTGGCCAGGAGCCCATCCGCTGTTGACTGGGGACGCATATGTTGACTCGCTGGGCACTCACGGTCACTCAGCGGCGCTCCATAAATCTTTTCCATTTGCTTTAAAGCGTGTGCGCAGCTGCTGGGCAGTCCTGTATGTTGACCTGCCGGGGCCCATGCAACAGCTATGGACTTCGGAGCCCGGCGCACTGACAAGGAACTCAGCTAGCCTCATCAGGATTGAAGTGTAGTGTTCCACATTTGTATGGGGTTTTAACCGAGATAGCCAGCTTAAAGATCATTCGGTGCAGTCCATGGCGTTGCCCTTCTTAACACCTTAACCGCTGCACGCCTGCGGAGATTTGCAGACTGTTTCGCGCAGACTATTTCAAGGCCACCCAAAAATGTTATACAAGATACGATGACGCAATCAAACAATGAGATATTTAAAAACGTATTTACTCGTAACTCGTGCGTGTTGCTACCCCCCCCCCCCCAAAAAAAAAAAACGCAGAAAAAATCAAGTTGGACTGTATCTTTGAGCGAAAGGCTGGATTGGAACAGCCCAGGACATGAGAGCTTGGTTCTAGCTGGCACGTGAAGCCGCCCCTCGGAAAGCGTTGTTAGTCGGTTGTTGTAAACTGTGTTTCAGACGCAAACGCAGCGACACCCGGCGTTGCCGTTTCCATTGGCGGCGTACTGTCGGCGCAACTGCCAACACCAGGCAACGGGAGGTGGGCGAGCGAGGGCAGCCGTGTGTCGGGGAATCACGCCCCAAATGTCCTGTCAAGTCGATAAGTGTGGGCTTATAGTAATCTGGAGTGCATATTTCACCTCTGCAATTTTGGGTCTGCTTCTGGGAACGGATTACCAGTTACATTAGAGACCTGCGTGGGTAGGATTTCCTATAACTAATGCACTCGTACCCATGGAGGCCTGTACCCACCGGCTATCGGCTTGTTGTCAGTTTTAGCCACCCGTTACCCACTCTTTTGCACTTTTCCAGCACTCTAGTTCTAAAAGATGGATGAATGATGGGAAAAAGCACACCCTTTTTGCGAGGTTATTGCAACAGCAGCATGAATGGGGATAAGCATGACTGGAAAACGACAGCAGAAACATTGTTAAATATTTCTTGAAGCATGCACTAGACATTTCGTGAACGTGTTATCCATATTTACCCGTGCCCGTACCCATACTTTTGTCAAAATGTTTCCAACCCGTTCCGTTACCCATTGAAGTCACGTACTAAAACACGAGCATTTGGGCCGTCACCATCTCGGCAGTCATTACGGGGAAATGTGGGGAAGCGTTTGACTGAATCTGAGGTAATGCCATTCCGGATGATCCTGATATGCGTCTTACACGGTCGTTGCTGGCGCGCCTGGAGCACCCAGAATGTCATAGCTAGCCATTGCACATATCTACCAGCCAGAACGCTTTGGCATGGCTTAATTGATTGCAGAGGCGGTTGCACAGCGGAAAATTGCCGTGTCGCCCATGGGCAGCACCGCAATACGTTTCTTCATTCGGAGTCGGTTTGGTTTGGCGAACCTTCACTGCCACCGACACAGGCTACACATCCCGAACGTTCTGTATAAGAGACCCGGCCGGTGACCCAGGACAATGCACTACAGCTGATGCTCAGTGGCGGCAATGACGAGAAATACAAATAAAAAACATCGCTACATCACGTTGCTTGAGACGGAACAGTTGCATTCCCACGGTCTGCTATTTCAGGGCCTGCGACGCTTAGGCATGAACAGTACTAATCAGGAAGGGAGGAAAATTGACGGTAGACATCGTTCCGACAACAGTCCAGCCCGTAACCGTCCTGGAATGGATGAAGTTCGGTCGACATTACCGTTAGGAAGGTCATTCGTGATTCCGAACTTAGCAAGGTGTGTGGTTTGGGTGATGAGATAATACTCATTGTTGATTATTACCTTTCTCATCAATGACACAGTGTCCACTGAAATGTTAGCTGACAGTCGTGCTGCAACCTCTCATCCGCTTTGAGTAATGATCGGTAAATCAAACAGTGGTGAAATCTACGCATACACACACACACACACACACACACACACACACACACACACACACACCACACACACACACACACACACACACACACACACACACACACACACACACACACACACACACACACACACACACACACACACACACACACACACACACACACACACACACACACACACACACACACACACACACACACACACACACACACACACACACATATATATATATATATATATATATATATATATATATATATATATATATAAATATATATATATATATATATATATATATATATATATATATCACTGGTGCGCTCCCACCGCACAGAGAAACCTTTCTGAAGCCATCCCTCCCCTGATGGAGTTGCTGAGTGCGTTCGTGGCCGGGGCGTCTGTCGCGTCCTCCATGCCACGGTCCAGCTCCCCCCGGAGAATTGAGGACGTGCTGGAGGTCTGTGGAGCCGCTGCGCGTGTGACGAGCGGCGTGACGTGCCGCCGACACGGCCCTCCCAGCTGCTCGGAGCGGGCTAACGGGCCGCCGAGGGCGCTGGCTCCACTCAGTTACTCGTGGTGGAGCTTCTCTGTGGCGAGCTTACTACAGGAAGGTGTGCTCAGTCGTGGTCCTACCGGGTGGAAATATAACAACACCGACGTCGCATAATACGTCCTTCCGAAACAGGCTGCAAGGAGCAGAGAGACAAGTGGAAACTTACTGACTGACTCGCTGTGCAGCAGCATTTCATGCATTGGTACATCATATATCGCATAATATGGTACATCATATACATCACATGTCACATATGTCAGATTTATCCATGGATTGGATTACATTCGGGAATTGGCAGTCATATATAGCGGGAAGCTATAGCAGACATTTTTCTACCTGCATGGAGGTACAATATAATAACGGCTTTCTCTCTCCAGCCGTTGTCAGCATTTTCATCGCCACTGGTGCTGTTTGAAAGTCATGTTTAGCAGTGGACATGGGCGGTTTCGGATAAGATGGATGCGAGACAACTATTGTGGTGCCGGCGTTGGGGCTAGTCTTGCGTCTATGCTGTAGTGGCCTAATCAGCAAGGAAATATCATCGATTACATCGTTAATTGGACCGTAACGGGAGACCAACCGACTGCCTGCGTCGCACAGGCCGTTGCCTACTTGGCTTGTACACCTTACAGTCGTCGTCGTCACCGTCTTTAGAGCGGCGTGACGTCATTAGTGGGCCAGGGAGCCGAGCGTGCGGGACCGGAGCCGGCCGCGGTGGCGCCACCTTTACGCAGAAGTAAGAACCAAGAGGAACGACGGCTTTGCGGCGAGCCCCGGGTACGAGCTAGTTTGGGGATCTGAGTGCTCGAAAGGCCATTCGGGATATTGCGTTTGTGTTCGTCATGGGCATTAACACCAATGAGTTCGGTGGGGCTCAGACCCCTGTAGCTTTTGAGGTCAACGGACTTTTTGTATGTTTTGTCCCCATGAAGCGACATCAAAACAGAAATTGACCCCAGTAGCGTTTAAGGCGCGGTTACGTTCATGCTGTTCGACGTTATTGTTGCGAAATGGGCTGGATGTGGTGGAGCTGAGGGACGGTTATAGTTTTTCGCAGGAAGAAGTTAAAGAACTGGTGTCTGCTCCACGATGCCAGTCACGCAAGTTTCGAAAGTCACCACATTCTTCACCCCGAGGCTGACACGAAACGTATTGAGCGAGACGCAACACAAACCATTTGTATGTTCTGCAGTGTCATGGGACGCAACGAAACATCTGCCATACAATTCCTGCTCCCTCCCGGTGAACATAATGTTACAACCAGCCTCTTTTATTTTCCTAACAAAGAGTGAGCCTTTGTTGCCTCAACAATGGCATGCGACTCATTACACAAAACCAGATTGCGTCATGACTAAAAAAAACGTACTGTTGACAGTAATAAACTCAACGCGCTCATATCTATCATCCGTGTACAGTTCACTGAATACTGCTAAAACGTTGTATGGAATTGCCCTGATATTGCACATGGATGACAGTGACCCCACCGCGGAGCGAAACCCGCGGCTACCTACGGACTCGAGTGAGTCCGATCTCACAATACCTTGAAAACCACGGCTACAATAGTGACGAAAACCATTAGTACCGGCGCACCAGCTAGACTATCTTGACCCGATGACTGCGAAGAGGTGTGTTGGGCTCGGACCGGGACAGCGTGCTGACCAGCGCCCTCTTGATGCGCACACTGATGTTCTCGTCGACACTAGCGATCCTGGCGGGCGCGCCGCTCCTGCTTATGCGTCGGATCCGCGCCACACTCGTCCCGGAGAGCAGCGGCGAGCCGGTGCCGAGCCGTGCGAGACACGCCTCCTCCAGCGGCGACCCGTTCGCCTCGGGCGTCTGCTGCCCGCTGGCCGGCCAGAGATGCTCGCTGCGGGTGCGCTGCTGGCCGTACCGCTCGCGCTCGCTGGCCAGGGCGGGTCGGCATCGGCCGGAGGAGGCCGAGCGGGCCGGCCGACCGCGCCGCCGTCGCCCGCCTGTCGACCCCAACCCCGACCCCGACCCCTGCCCCGACCCCGGCCCCGGCCCCGGCCTCGGACGTAATGAGCGGTTGCCGTTCGCATCGATGGCGCAGCGCGCCGGCGGTCGGCGTCGCCCGGCGCGACCCGGCGCTGTCCTGTTCCCGTTCAGCTCATCCTGTTCGCCCTCGCTGCTGCCGGCGGCGGGCGTGCGCGCATGCAGTGGCGTGCAGGGCGAGGAGGCGCAGGCGGAGACACGCCGCATGCGGCTGTACAGCGGGCTGCTGTGCGCCGAACCGAGCGGCGCCGGCCGGCCCGGTGGGCTGCAGTCGAGGCTCGGCTGGCTTAAGCTGGAGGAGGTCTCGCTGCGCGGGCTGGCCGTCGAGCTGGAGCGCCGGCTCAGGCCGCCCCGCCGCCCCGGCGAGCCGAACAGCAGCGCCGGCAGGCACGACACGCCACCGTCCGGGCCGGGCCGCACCGCCGCCGGCAGCACGTGGTTGGCCGCGTAAACCGGGCTAGGCGGCAGAGGTCGGGTGACGTCACAGCTGACGGGTATGGCCGGCTGCTTGGCCTCCAGCCCGCACGAGAACAGGCGTTGCTTCTGCGCGGGCGGCGGACCACGCGCTGCCGCCTTCCCGTGCGACATGATGTCGGACACATTAGGGATGTAGTAGATCCCTGAGCTGTCTTCACCGTCGCGGAGCCGGTCCGAGCTCTGGCGCGCCCTGTCCTCGCTGAGGCCAGTCAGCAGGGGCCTCTTGAAGCGTCCGTACAAGGACAGCGCCGAGCCCTCCGCCGGCGCCGCTGACCTGGCCAGGCCCTCTTCATGAGGTGTCTTGTCATGGAGAATATCCTCCAGTGAACGACCGCTCGGCGCCCGCCGGCCCTGCCGCGTCGGCAGGCTGCCGGTCATCCGCTGCGGCCGGTGCGCCGACTGACGGCCGCCAAGAGACGGCGACTTGCCAGCGGCATCTAGGGCCTCCGACGTGAAGCTGAGACTGTCGCCGTCGCCGTCGGGCCGCCTGCGCGGCGCTGCAGGAGTGTGCCTGGCGGCGGCGCGGCCCAGCGAAGCGGGCGTCGACGGACCTGACTCCTGTGTGATGTTGTGCAGGCTGGGCGGCTGCGAGTAGGGCGGCGGGGGGCCCCAGTGGCTCCAGACGAACTCGGCCAGCGCCGGCGGGCTGCTGTACCGCTGCGCCGTCAGGTGGTGGAAACACGCCGTCGTTGGAGCGACCCGCGTGCCGTAGGGTGCCGGCCGGCCGCCCGCTGCTCAGACCCAGGGTGTGGTGGCACTGCGCGGGGGCGCCGCGTCCGACCGCCGGCTGCTCCTGCAGCGACAGTGCCATCAGATCAAAGGTCGCGCAGGTCACAGGGCACTGCTGTTGCGAGGAGCAGGCAGGTACCGGCTGGTGGCGGGACATAGCGGGCAGGTGCCGGCTGGTGACGGAACACGACGGACAGGAACCGTCCGGTGATGGAACACAGCGGGCAGGTGCCAACTGGTGACGGAACACAGCGGGCAGGTGCCGGCTGGTGACGGAACACAACGGACAGGAAACGCCTGGTGATGGAACACAGCGGGCAGGTACCGTCTGGTGATGGAACACAGCGGGCAGGTGCCAACTGGTGACGGAACACAGCGAGCAGGTGCCAGCTGGTGACTGAACACAACGGCTCAGCAATAACTGCCTTACTATGAATGCGTTTTTGGAGAATGCAAGCGATCTGCAGAGAAAATCATTACTTATAAGCAATGCGTCGTGGATGAATCTGACCGCGATATAATATCCGACCTAAAAAATACCTTCTGGTTTATCCAGCATTGCCTGAAGCACATAGTCCGCTCCACAGCACCAGCCCACGTCCTAAGGCTGCCACCGATTACATGCCTGCCCCGACGTGGGTTACGGGTGCTGGAACGTGGTCAACTCACCGGTTCTGCTGCCGCCACGGTAGCCAGCGCCAGTGAGACTGGTGAGCCGGTGCGGTGCTGCCCCCTATAAGGGCCGAGCGACTCGTGGTGGACTCCTCCGGACTAGGCGTGTACTGGTCCAATGTCCGCTGGGGCCAGTACCTGCAGTGGCCCAGAGATGATGGAGATTACGGGCCTGTGCTTTTTGCAGATGATATGAATGCACACACAAATACCCATACAAATACACGCGAATACCAATACAACTGTATGCCATCTTTCAATGGGAAGCGGTCATTCCCTTTATCATAAAAGGAAAAGTCATTTTCACATTTCAGACGACGGGGCGATTCAATACAATCCAGCATGGTGAGATCAGTTCATGTATGAGCATGACAACGAGGAACATCCTCACACGTGCCGCTCAACGAGGAACAACCGAAGGCGTTTAAGCTTTAGCGGCATATCAATACGTACGCTACGTCATCGACGAAGTCCCACTGCTGCCAGGGCTCGCTGGCGCAGAACGATGGCGGGAACGGCGGATGGGCCTGGAAGAAGCAGCGCTGACGCATCTCCAGCTGCTCCCAGTACATCTTCTTCCGCTCGTGGCTGCAGAGGCAGTACAGTGGTCACAGCTTCACAGCCTGCTCCGGTCTGGTCTGGTCTGGTATACTCTGGTTTAATCTGGCCTGGTTCGTGGTTCTGAGCTGATCTGCGTTAATCTGATCTGGTCTGTTTCCGCCTGGTTTGGTCTGGTTCGCTGTTCCGACCCGGTCTGATCGGGTTTAGCCTCTTGGTCTCTTCAAAGGTTACTCGTTCTATAGGAAGGTCTCTTTGGGAAACACAACAGCCGTAGTCAGCTAATGAGGTCGATGAGGGCAACTGCAAGCTGCCATGAACAGATTCAGTTCTCCTCAGAGATACGTGACAACAATTCTGGTCTAGTGATCCAGAGCCCGGCGTCAGCTCATCATCTTATTGTCACCCATCATGCAGGCCAAGATTCGTAGCTCTTGAGTCCAGTCAGCAAACCCTTACTGCATCCGCTCACCTCAGCAGCTGGTAGACGAGCATGCAGGAGAAGATGCAGACGAGGGCGCCGATCACTGAGAGGCCGAACAGGGCTCGCAGGCAGGAGAAGAGCGCTCCGTGGATGACCTCACAGTTCGGCACAGCGCCGAACACGTAACTCACTGGAACACAGCAGGCGGTAACACAGCCGCGGCACCACATCCAATTGGTGCATGCCCTTCGTGTGAGCCGCGGGCCAACGGAGGCAGGCTGGTGGAGGACAGCAGCAAATGGTACATTGTTGGGGGAGTTTTGAACTCCTTGATTGATATTCATTTGCCATTGAGTCCTGCTGTAACACATAACCTTACATTGAAAATAGGTATACTGTAAAATCTCACGTAGCAAATTAAGACAATAGATGCCTGAAAAGGTATCAAGCTGGCGCTAGCATTTTACTTTATCTACAGGAAATCTCACCGCAAGAAGTGAGCCATGTCAGTCCGCCAACTGCGAAGCACTTTGTCGGGACGAAAATACATTCCAAAGCAATTTCTGCGTAATTAGAGTTTGCTACACCAGCTTTGGCGCGGATCAGCGACGCTAATATCTGTTACCCAGCGGCCGCTGGCCTCACCTTCGTCTGCGTCGAGATGCGCCTGCAGCCTGCCGGCGAAGCAGGTGCAGGTGCGCAGTGACTTGGCGAACACGCACTCGGTGAGCGTCTGGAGACGGTTGATGTGCACCACGGCCGTGGTGACCGTGATCACCACACAGAGCACGGCCGACAGCAGGCAGCAGCCGCCCGACAGCTTGATCTGCGAATCAGACACGGGCGCCGTCAGGGGGCGTCGACAGCGGCCGTTGCCGTGTGGGGAGCTGCTGGTGCGGTGAGGCGTGTGGCAGAGACGGAGCAGGCACGGGCGCTGCAGCGGACGGCGACAGCGGCTGGTGCCGTGTGGGGAGCTGCTGGTGCGGTGAGGCGTGTGGCAGAGACGGAGCGGACACGGGCGCTGCAGCGGACGGCGACAGCGGCTGGTGCCGTGTGGGGAGCTGCTGTTGCTGTGAGGCGTGTGGCAGAGACGGAGCAGACACGGGCGCTGCGGCGGACGGCGACAGCGGCTGGTGCCGTGTCGGGAGCTGCTGTTGCTGTGAGGCGTGTGGCAGAGACGGAGCAGACACGGGCGCTGCGGCGGACGGCGACAGCGGCCGTTGCCGTGTGGGGAGCTGCTGGTACGGTGAGGCGTGTGGCAGAGACGGAGCAGGCACGGGCACTGCAGCGGACGGCGACAGCGGCTGGTGCCGTGTGGGGAGCTGCTGTTGCGGCGAGGCGTGTGGCAGAGACGGAGCAGACACGGGCGCTGCAGCGGACGGCGACAGCGGCCAATGCCGGGTGGGGAGCTGCTGGCGTAGTGAGGCGCATGACAGAGACGGAGCAGACACGGGCGCTGCAGTGGACGGCGACAGCGGCCGGTGCCGTGTGGGGAGCTGCTGGTGCGGTAAGGCGCATGGCAGAGACCGAGGGAACACTTGGTATGAGCATGGTGAGATGCGAAGGCATCGCCCTGGCATCAGGGGCCGGTGGACACGAATCGTTTCTGACCACTATGCGGTGATGATGCATGACCGTAATATATTGCTCATTAAAGCTCTGAATGCCATTAGCGTGACGTTGTATCTTTATGTCGTGACGTGATATGTTTATGTCAAGACGTTGCATCCTTATGTCGTAACGTTTTATCTTTATGTCGTGATGTTGCATCTTTATGTCGTGACGTTGTATCGTTATGTCGTGACGCTGTATCTTTAGGTCGTGACGTTGTATCTCTATGTCGTGACGTTGTATCTTTATATCGTGACGTTGTATTTTTATGTCGTGACGTTGCATCATATGTCGTGCTGTTTGGAAATGACAAAGTTGGGTAGTTGGGTAATGTTGGGATGTAATGTAAGCAATGCTGGGTAGGTAAACACAAAGTGTATCGAAGCTTCTTGTCAGCAAACATCACTTCTTTACAACTCTAAGCACCATCTGTTACCACTTGCAGGCTCGGCAGGCCCGCACCAAACAGGTGCCCATTTGTCTTCAGTGCAGGTTCGGTGCGCCCGGGGCCATGGCTACCATTCATCTGTTGTTTGCGGGCTTCCCTTGACGTGTTCGGAGCTAATGAGGTCGATCGATACGGCACCGAAACGAATGGAGCGTGTCAGCCTAGCGGACGCCGTCCCAGTGACCGGCAGTACAGGATGTGACCGGACGCCGTCCCAGTGACCAGCAGCACAGGATGTGACCGGACGCCGTCCCAGTCACCGGCAGTACAGGATGTGACCGGACGCCGTCCCAGTGACCAGCAGCACAGGATGTGACCGGACGCCGTCCCAGTGGCCAGCAGCACAGGATGTGACCGGACGCCGTCCCAGTGACTAGCAGTACAGGGTGTGACCGGACGCCGTCCCAGTGACCAGCAGCACAGGATGTGACCGGACGCCGTCCCAGTGACCAGCAGCGCAGGATGTGACCGGACGCCGTCCCAGTCACCGGCAGCACAGGATGTGACTGGACGCCGTCCCAGTGACCAGCAGCACAGGATGTGACCGGACGCCGTCCCAGTGACCGGCAGCACAGGATGTGACCGGACGCCGTCCCAGTGACCAGCAGCACAGGATGTGACCGGACGCCGTCCCAGTGGCCAGCAGCACAGGATGTGACCGGACGCCGTCCCAGTGACCAGCAGCACAGGATGTGACCGGACGCCGTCCCAGTGACCAGCAGCGCAGGATGTGACTGGACGCCGTCCCAGTGACCAGCAGCGCAGGATGTGACCGGACGCCGTCCCAGTGACCAGCAGCGCAGGATGTGACCGGACGCCGTCCCAGTGACCGGCAGCACAGGATGTGACCGGACGCCGTCCCAGTGACCAGCAGCATAGGATGTGACCGGACGCCGTCCCAGTGACCAGCAGCATAGGATGTGACCGCCGCCAAGCTTAGAGCAACAGTGTGTAACCTGTTGATTTATTGTTATAGTTCGAGTTAAATATAGAACTTTTCTAGTCAGTAAAACGAACTGCCGAAGCAGATAGGCACCTTTAAGTACCCGATGTTTATGGGTGTTGGTAAGTTGTTCAAAGTCATTGTCTTGAGATTCGCAAAGTCCTCCGATCCTCTCAGAACGTGCGTTCTCAGGCAACAGCTGAAACAGCGCATCAAGAATATGTACCTGACATGTTGAAAAGCAAAGAATCATGTGAAAATGAAACGTATACGGCACAGAGCGAGAATATACCAGCAGGGCTGGACTGTGCCGAAGTGCCTGGGAGCCAGTGCTGGCCGAACAGAGGAGGGCTCGGGCAGGCAGGGCGGTGAATGCAGGGGCGGGCAGGGCTCGGACAGAGGAGCCAGCAGGGGTCCTGCTGGTCCAGCAGCGCTCAGCAGAGGCACCATCAGGGCTCCGGCAGAGAAGTGTGCAGTGATCTCGCGGTGTGGTAACTGCCGATGTGTTAACGGGCGACGCTATTCACTGCCTGTCGCCGGCAAGCCCGAGTTCTGGCCACATCTTCACGCTCCGCCGTGTTATGAAACTGCGTCCATTTCGCCGACGCGGCGAGCTCGTATGCCATCAGACATGTGCCAGAGCCATGTGGGGCAGAGCTTCATCAGCAGCCGGCGGCGCAGTTGGCGACAGACGGCCGGGCGCCTCTCAAAGGGCGCAGCGTCTCCGCTGAGTGGCGGACCGGCTCGGCACATCGGCACGCCGACGCTGGACAAAGCGGGCCTGCAGTCAAACTCTGCGCCTGGCCGCCCGCCAGCGCGCTCGAAAGCACTCAGAAGTCTGCAAATGTCTCGGGAGGGATGGACGCCGCCCTGCTCTGAATGGCTACTGATGGTCGGAAGAGAGGCGCCCCGAGGCTGCGACCAGTCCCGTGAAGAGTGACTAGTCATGGCTCGGCTCTAAAGGAAATGAACAAGTGCTGTAAAGTACAGCCGCATGCACTGCACAAACCTGAGGTTGTATACACTGAATGCAAAGAAGATCCGACATAACGCGCGGTGAAAAACAGACCCTCTTAAGTCGCACAGCTGCAAAAGCCCAGTAACTTATAGTTGGCAGCACACGTTGCGCCGGTCCATTGGAGCCTGGTAAAAAAAATACAGGCCACGGGAAAGACCCGGTGTTTGATTCTCCGACAGCGTCATATCTCCCTGGTTGCGCTCTGTCAGTTGCCACGGGAAAAACCCGGCGTTCGATTCCCCGACAGCGTCATATCTCCCTGGTTGCGTCCTGTCAGTTGCCACGGGAAAGACCAGGCGTTCGATTCCCCGACAGCGTTATATCTCCCTGGTTGCGTCATATCAGTTGCCACGGTAGGTCTCAATGCTCGTTACCTCAGGTGTAAACCGCGCGATAAATAACACGACTGTTTCGCCTCACGCCAATGATGACCACACCAGCGTAACTGTACAGGGCGTTTGATTTAGATCATAGGGCAACATGAGATTATAGAGGTACTTACCAAGTAGGAGAAGCGATTCCTGCGCTTGATAAAGCAGAGCAGGAGGAATCCAGTCACGATAAGCTGGAATGCAGATAGGATCGTAAGCATGGCCACTGAACGTGCATGGCAGGCATGTATTTACCTGGCATATGACTGTTATAACGAGGTGATACATGTTGCCAAGTTAAGCCCAGTTATTATAAAGGCATGTTGCATCATAATGGCGTGGCGCAAAGATGACATAACGTTGTGAACTAGATGTAGTGTAAAGATGGCAAATATTTCACGGCAGCATTTGCTAGAATGCTTGCCTTGTGGTCTGAACGGGACAATCAAGCCAAAGGTGGTACGGATACATGCAGATCGGTATATACCCCGTAACGACTATTTCGTCCCTTCTTGCGAAAGTAGATAAATGTAACATTGCAACAATGATAGCTGAAAATTTCGGGCATGCAAAACAGATGCGTTTGCTGAAACAAGCATTTCCCGAAGTCTAACAAAAGTGGCAGCCTGCCTTACCACCAATTCAGGATATTCCACCTAAGAATAAGTTGTATTACTGACAAACTATGGGGTTTTTTAGGAGCGTTCCCGGTATTGCTGTACTTCGAACGCTTTTACATTAGAATCAATGAGATATTCTTGAGTTCCTTTTTCTAATCTTTAGTGCACACCAAAAGTGATTGCCGCCGCCCGTTCTTGACACACATATCAGATCCATCTAGTGAGCAATCAGGAGCTGGTGATGGGGCTCCTAACACGCAAGACGCTCGTGATCCTTCGAGGAGAGAAGCCCCATCATATAGTAATATTGATACGGGTACAGAGATCTCACATTATTTATGCATTTGGCGTAGCTATGTCAATCGCAAATTACATCTGTGCTGTCCGAGGTTTGATAAGATCATCTTAACTCGGGTTCGAGAAAGCTTTATACCGTTTTACCATTTACAGGAAAATTGCAGGCGTTGCATATCCGTTGCAGCGACGGCTCTCCTAAGACTGACAAGTTAGCTGCATTCGTGCCTTTGAATTCACGAACACAATACGCAAGAATCTGTTACCTTAATCATTTGTCACACTTCGAACTGTCGTTGAAAAAGGCTTACTTAACAACACACTTTCACCAAGCAGTCCATCTCTTTCTAAGCAACCAAATCAAGTTATGTGAGTTACATTCGTTCAGACAAGAAGTTATAAGTGTAATCCAAATATCAGACTGCGTCCAGATTTTCACAGGTACAGTACATGCGTTTTACGTGGCAGATAAGTATCGTTTCATTGTAATTCCGAAACAATGAGAAACATCTGTAAAAAACTGTTTCTGACTTTTGGGGGTAAGCCACATATCCTTTCCCAATAACTTTGGTATGACTTATTAACAACTGTAACGCATTAAAACTACTAATATATGCATCTGAACCCAACTTATCAAAAGTGCAGATATTCCAATGGATGCCAGCCACATCCTGGTATATGATTTTATAGATAAAGCGCTAGTCCATCGCGGGGACAGTGGAGCAGACTATATAATACGATATAGCCAACTAGGTGTTGTCTTGTCTCCCTCTTCTCCCATTCCTCTCCTATCCTTACCCTCTATTGCTACCCCTGCATCTCTTATCTTTTATTTCACGTCCTTTCCTGCCTAGCAATTTCCCCCAATAGCCTTGTAAACCGGGGCTGCCGGGAGCTATTGACCACAACGCTGCCAATGGCCTGGGGTGAGAATGGCTCTGAAAGCAATTTTGAGGCTTGACGAACCCGAGTGGGACACACAAAAACCTGCGTAATCGAGTATCTGCGGCTAAAAGTTCATCATTTCATGCTCATCTTCTGAAGAGCATTTCTCACAAACACCATCAACTATCCCATTCAGTTCAAGCGCTGGTGAGCGTTGTTGTCCACTTAACCGAGGCGAGACAAACATATCCAGCCTTTGATCGCGACTCGCATCGCTCCCTTCCTCCCGTTCTCGGCAATATTAGTCGGATGTCTGATTAGAGGCAGCAGCTCCGGAGCGAGTGGAGACATGCGGAGAGACTCAAACACCTGAGGGCGCACATTACACAGCGGGGCCCTCAGCACGCTCACCCCGAAGGAGGCACACACTCATCACAGACCCGGTGGCCCGACAGCCGAACACAGCGGGGCCGCGGCATACTTACCACGCAGGCCGGCACATAGGTGGGAATGGTCTCGAAGTAATGGAGGCTGCTGGTGTGTGTGCGCAGTAGGAAGTATACCAGCACGTACAGCAGGCCGAGCAGTACGGCCAGACCGCCGCACACCCAGCACAGGATGACGTACTTGCGCGTCACCGACCGCCACCACGGGCGCCGCTCCGCTGGGGAACGCAGGTCACGGTCAGGGTGGGTCACCTGAATCCGACAGGTCACGGTCAGGGGTGGGTCGCCTGGATCCGACGGATCATGGTCAGAGGTGGGTCACCTGGATCCGACAAGCCACGGTCAGGGGTGGGTCACTCGGATCCGACAGGTCACGGTCAGGGGTGAGTCACCTGGATCCGACAGGTCACGGTCAGGGGTGAGTCACCTGGATCCGACAGGTCACGGTCAGGGAGGGTCACCTGGAGCCGACAGGTTACGGTCAGAGGTGGGTCGCCTGGATCCAACAGGTCACAATCAGAGGTGGGTCATCTGGATCCGACAGGTCACGGTCAGAGGTGGGTCAACTGGATCCAACAGGTCACGATCAGAAGTGGGTCACCTGGATCCGACAGGTCACAGTCAGGGATGGGTCACTTAGATCGGACAGATCACGGTCAGGAGTGGGTCCCTTGGATCAGACAATTCACGTTCAACGGTGGGTCGCTGGGATGCGACAGGTCACGGTCAACGGTGGGTCACTGGGGCCCGACAGGCACGGTTAGGGGTAGGTCACTGGAGCCCGACAGGTCACGGTCAACGATGCGTCACGCTGTGAAATGGCACCGTGTAGGACAGCGTCAGAGCACTAAACAGCAAGGCAGGGCACGGGTCCGTGATTAAGCGCAGCCCTCTCGTATCGCTGTCATGATTTGACTCGTGTTGCCTGGAGGAGCGTTGAAAGCCTCCCAGACATCTGCGAAGAAACACGCACAACATGAGCACTTGACTTTATTCTCGGAGAGAGGAGACACCTCTGTATGAGGAGTTGACTTTTCTCTAGTCAGGCATTTGTTCCAGTCAAGTATTTCCCCAGTCAAGCAATGTTCCAGTCGAAACATTCTTCTAAGTTTGAATTTGCTGTACACCAGGGTCGTAGGAGGGCCATATAACAAGCATTCCAGGTTATCAGTTCTTCCCGAGCCAACCTTTTCCTGGTAGAATCCGTAAGCCTCGTGCAGCGTGGGCGGAACGAGGCAATAACGGATGAAGTTTTCAGTTATGAATTGCATATGTGTAAATTATACGATAACCAGAGCTAATAGGGTCATATAACTTTGGCAACCCGCATAAGTGGGTATCATCCATATTTCATGCATTGGCAACCCTAACTTCCACGAGCTTCAAGCAGGCTAAGCTGTTCAGTGGCGCAATTTTCGCCCGCTTATTCACAAATCGCATTGCTTGGAAACTGGATACCTACGTCTGACAGTGACATGGCAATTTTACTCCAGAGTGGCGAAGGATCTGTATTGATTTGTATGTCGTTAACACGAGTAAAGTACTTCGACAACGTATGCATCCGTTCGATCATTGCTCTCAGCGTGTGTGGCATTGGTCACGAATAACTGTCCCACATACCGGTTCACTACTTGCACGCTTTCACGGCTCGGTTTCTGTTAAAGTCGCAGCGCACTGTTTTCCAAACCGTGTTCAGCAAATATAACACTGGGAGCTTCCTGCTGAATTTCTGATGTGCCGATTGGCAAAGAATGCTGAGACTGCGTAGCCAATTATGGACGATACATTTATGTACACCACACAGTTCGTGTTACATCTTCATCCGCTCTAGAAAGCGAAATATTCCATAAGTCATCAAAAACGCCTGCTTCCCAGCGGACTGATCAATGCACTCACGCCATTTTTAGCCGTCTCCGTCGCACAGTGCTGGTCTCGTGTCGCTGCGACGCCATGTCGAGATCGAAGCGCAATTTGTAATGTTTTACAGTTAGCAGTTTCACGTTTCACGTGGTGAAGTCTAACGTGGTTTCGCGCAGTGAAGTTTCACGTAGTGAACGATGCTCATATTCTCATTTCGCCAGAATATCGTGCCTGATCAGACGGCATGCGCATTTTTATACATTCGTACGGAAAAAAAACTTTTAAAGCTGTTGTATCTCACAGCTGAAAACTTTATGCAGCTACAACCAATCGTGCCCATAGTGACCAACCATGTAATAAAACCGCTATCAACAGCTGCAAAGATATTTGCTTTCAGAGAGCGCAGCGAATGGGGCGCGTAGCAAAGTTGAAAATTGTTTGCTCTTTCTCAGACATCCTCTGCCTGCGGCCTTACTCTCAATAATTCAGCCAGCTCTGAGCGACTTTTCTGAAGCTTGCGCCGAAGAGATGTGTGTTTGCTTAGGTTCCCTGGTTGGCGGCGCCGTTTGTCGCCATTAGTGACAAGAAGATGCGTCCCTGATCTTTCTTGTTACACAGGTGGGCTAAGTCTATGGCGACAGAGCCCCACCCCCATCTCTCTCTCTCTCTCTCTCTCCTCTCTCTCTCTCTCTCTCTCTCTCTCTCTCTCTCTCTCTCTCTCTCTCTCTCTCTTCTCTCTCTCTCTCTCTCTCTCTCTCTCTCTCTCTCTCTCTCTCTCTCTCTCTCTCTCTCTCTCTCTCTCTCTCTCTCTCTCTCTCTCTCTCTCTCTCTCTCTCTCTCTCTCTCTCTCTCTCTCTCTCCTCTCTCTCTCTCTCTCTCTCTCTCTCTCTCTCTCTCTCTCTCTCTCTCTCTCTCTCTCTCTCTCTCTCTCTCTCTCTCTCTCTCTCTCTCTCTCTCTCTCTCTCTCTCTCTCTCTCTCTCTCTCTCTCTCTCTCTACTCTCCCTCTCTCTCTCTCTCCTCTCTCTCTCTCTCTCTCTCTCTCTCTCTCTCTCTCTCTCTCTCTCTCTCTCTCTCTCTCTCTCTCTCTCTCTCTCTCTCTCTCTCTCTCTCTCTCTCTCCGGCTGCCAGCGTCAGTGCTGCCTAGCACCGGAAGTCGAGTCCCCTTCTTGCCCCCTGTGTGCTGGCGCTTTGTGGATGCGGTTGCTAATGCGCCGCGGTTGTCGTTCCCTGACCAATCTTTCTCAAAGCGCCGCTGCCGGTTCGGCCGCAACGTAAACACGACCGGCGCGAGGGTGACCGTCGGTCCGGCGCTGCGTAAACACGACCGGCGCGAGGGTGACTCCGAACGTTCGAGTCGATGCGTCGACCCTCGACACAGCGGGAGCAGCACCCGACGGCCAGTACATCGACCTCGACACGGCGGGGAACAGCACCCGACGGCCAGTACAGGGAGTCAAAGCTACAGCCCAATAACGCTGCCGCAGAGGCAGAGTGGCCGGCAGCGGTTCGGCTAAAGCTGGCCAGCATCAGGTTGCGGGAGCTGATGGAGGCGCTATAGCTTCCGGTGAAATGACGCCAATGCCTTCATCCATGTCCGTCCCGTGTACATACGTCACGCACGCGGCCAATGCAAGACAACGAGTGTGTGTAATATAGCATTTTGCGTAATGGCGAATGATTGTAGTTCGCGAGTTTGAGTCTCTGCGAACGTTGTCATCAAAGGAACGCAGCTTGCAAGGGAAAGGAATTCAGATGGAAGACTTTGCCTTAGGCGGACGGCAGTGTATTGCATGTCACGATGCAAATTCCTTAGCATTCACTGCCTCGCAAGTTGGGGCAGTTATCTCACAAATTAAACCACGGTAGTGGAGGGATAACTGTACACGAAACCTGCTCTGCGTTGAGTTTGATCCTCACGGCACCTGAGCGGGAGGACGGTTGGAGGTTTTGGGTGCGTCAACTGCTAGATTACTTTACTGGCCCTGCTCCACTACCAAGCAAATGAGCCTTGCGACCAAATGTATCGACAAAAACAAAACGGCCAAGGAAGACATGCCCCTACCCCTTACGAGGATGGTATGCCCCCACCCCTTACAAAGGCAAAACTGCGCCGTTCCTGCTTGTCTGTTGTCCACGCTAAAGCGCATGCTGCATCAGTCTAGTGCCCAACTCATGGATTTACGAACGAAAACGGCGTGAACGAACGGGTGCTTCACGCGATGCCCAGTGCACATGCCCCTGCCCGCACGGCGCGCCACAGCGACCGTATACAGCGCCTGCACTGGCCACCTGCGGCCACGTACGTGTGCGTCATATATAACCAAGAGAGCATGGCCAAGAGCGCGCGCTGCCCGAGGGCGACCGCGTGTACACGCGGGCCAGATTTACGGTTATGGCCGGCTGAAGCTTTGCACAATCGTCCATCGGCGGGACCACTAACGACTCTGGCGGGGGCAGGAGGATGTGGAGCGTTGCGCAGCCTGGCGTGCTGCGCCCTAATCAGCCGGGGAAAGGAGCCGAGCCCTGGTGCGGGGCAGGCCGTGCGCGTGTCCCGCCGCCGGCGCTCGGCTCGGTCGGCATGACCCCTGCATACTGATGCCGGTGTCCGGCTCCTGGGCGCAACCATGCGGCACGTGGGCGAAGGAGGCCGCCTGGCGCTCACTTTCCCTCCTGCACGTGCCGCGTCGGGGCAGTAGCAATAGCGTCTGGTGTTTGTGCTTCAGCTCAATAGGCTTAAAGGGCTCTCTGGCCAGACTGAGCCACCGGTCAGGGCAGAGAGCTCGACTCGGAGAGTCGCCAATCGAGGCAGAGAGCCCGACTCGGCGAGTCGCCGGTCGGGGCAGAGAGACCGACCGGCGGCTCGGTGAGTCGCCAGTCGGCCCGCCTGGCTGCTGCGTGGCAGGCTGTGTAGGCTCGCGTCTCATGCGCAGCACGCTGCGGTTGGTCTTCGCGACTGTGATTGGTCAATATGTCAATTGTTCGTGGGCTGTGATTGGTCAGCCGTAATGCATTCAGATACATTTCCAAAAGGAGAGAGATGTCTCACACCTGTAGGAATTTTTTAACCGCGGTATGCGGATTTTAATGTAAAGGGAACCTACGCAATGGTAGCATTTTCAAGGTCTAAAACACCCTGTTTCTGAATCTAACTGCAGCTAGTCTTCAGTTTTTTTTTCGTGCCTGGCGTACACATAAACTGCTTTACGCATGACATTGGCAGTGGCGTCATACATATATAAAGGTTACGTTTGTTAGCCGATGGATGGGGCACGCGGCATGCTATGTTCGCATTGCCATTAGTCAAACATTAAAACGATGAACGTGGTTGGTTGCTCGAATGGCGAACGCTTGGTGAAAATGGCATTGTCATTCGTGAAGTAGCGGGACATGTTCTTTTGTTTTCTAAACGAAATCATAAAAAATGCAATCCAACCCTTCAGGCAAGAGAAAAAATGCCAAGACCACTGTCAACGTACTCTTCACAAGGGTAGTTGTGTACTTTACTCGTTGAGGTCTCACTCGCTTTATTTTGCACCATAATTAGATTTCCGCAGTTTAAGATCTCGCACTCTCGCCAAACACTAGGTGCTAACTTAAAGCGTGGGAAAGGTTGAGAACTAACTTACCTTCCAGCGAGAAGGCTGCACCTGCTGCCACAGAGACTGACATCTCATACAAAACATTAATCCACTGGGAAACTAAATAGCAGCTCCGTCCCCACCGGCCATGGCTAGCATCAGCCCAGCAGGGCTCAACACATGCCGCACGTGCCTCGGGTGCCGGCTGTCGGTGCCGGGCAAGAGCCTCGCCAGAGCCGCGTCCGGTGACGGTCCGGCGGTCAGCGGCGGCGGCCGCAGGGAACCAACCCCTCCAGAGCTAGCCTTCAGCGGCGCCCGCCGAGCCTGCCGTACCTGTGAGCGGTCCGGCGGCCGGCGGCGGCGGCCGCAGGGACCCAATCCCTCCAGAGCCAGCCTTCAGCGGCGTCCGCCGAGCAGTCCGTACCTGTGGGCGGTCCGGCGGCCGGCGGTGGCGGCCGCGGAGGCTCCGTCTGAGGCGGAGCCTGAAGTCGGAGCGGCCGTGGCGGCAGCGCCGGCGGCAGGTCCTCAGCCGTCCTCCCGCCGTCCTCGGCCGTCCTCCTGCAGTCCCCGGCCGTGGCGCAGCGTCGGAGGAGGCGGCGTAGCGCCATGGCGGCCTTGTGACCTCGTGACAGAGGCCTCACCAGCTCACCGCCGGGGCGACAGCACCAGTCATCATCTGCAACAGGATACGCGCACCAATCGGACAGCAGCACGTGGTCAGGCGAAAAGAACAACATCGAAGGAGGCTGGAAATTGGGAGATGAAAAGTGAACGGCTGGGGAACATTACAGGGGTATTGTAGATAATCCACCTTTCCCTCGCATCTTCCGTCACCTTTTTCCGATCTTCGTCTGTCCTCTCTGCTTCCACAATCTCCCTCTCTCCTTCATGTCCTGTTACCTTCTTACTTTTAAAACGATCGTAACTACTAAATATCTTACAATTATTCTGCAACACCCGCTAAAATTAACCGCGAATATTGATTTCAACTGATTTTTTTTGCGATGGGCTCTCAAATGTCTTATTCATTCGTAGTTTGGAGCATGGGGCAAAGCACAGTGAGTTAAGTGCATTGTCCGACAGTTTTTCGAACTCGCCCGTGTTCCTCCGTACCGCAGTGCCTGCCAAGCGCAGGCATTCACATAGGCCGCCTTTTGCAAATTAACACTCTGACGCCAAACAAACTTCCTTCGTCTCAAGCCACGGCCAGCACTGGCCCAACAGCCGGATGGAAAACGCCTGTCTACACACTCCTGCCAGCTTCGCCCCATTAGCGCGGTTCAGGCCTTTGTGCGCCGCGGCGGGATGCCGACCCGGCTTGGCTGGTCCACCCCACGGCTCCCCGCCCCGCGCCGGCAGCCCTAACGACGCAGGGCCGCCGGGCTTTGATTAGGGATGCGGCGCTAGCACAACGGAGGCGCGTGTTCGAGACCTTATCCGACGCCGGAGGGCAGCAGCCGCGAGGGGCGACGCACCCCGCCGGCGGCTCCGTCGGGCGACCCCTCACGTGCGGAGGCTGAGACGGCGTCGGCGGCGGCGCCAGCCAGAATTAATGCCCCGGATGATACTGGGAAGTGGCGCCGACGGGGCCGGAGGTGCCGGCGGCGGCTCGCGCGCGCTCGGGCAGATGCGCCAGGCGCCGTCTCGGCCCCGGCCCGCTACTGGAGCCCGGCCAAGCGCGACCACCGGCCGCGTCGCCGACCAATCGATACCGGCGTAACTGGCCACGACAAACGCACCGCGACAATGTTGGCGCAGTGGTAGGCGCCATTATCTTACGCAGGGGGAGAACCCGCCCCGTGGCGTCCAGCGAGGACAACGGCCTGGTCTTTTATGAGTTCGTTGCGTTATTCTGCCCCGTGCGATAGCTTAACTAAATGGTCCTTGGGTTCTGCAAATGTTTGCCAGCTAAGCAAACCGTGGATCTCGCAGCATTCACAGGGATGTTCCGGGCGCACGCGAGTTATAACACACAAAGACGGATAATCACATAACTTGGCGTCTTTGATGAAACTGCGGAATCTATACAACAGGCGTTAGTATATGTGTATATACATACTATCTATAAATATATTGTCATTTTATATATATATATATATATATATATATATATATATACTTATCAAAGCACAGACATGTCGAGACAGATATGATTAAAGCTGAAGCTGTAGCTCCGGCGCTATAGGATGGAAAAAGGGCATTTAAGTGAAAAGAAATCAAGTAGTGCCGTCAGCAGCGCTGCCCACTGCGGTTTGCCAGTAATATATCCCCGTGTGACAAACAGATTTCATGCCGAACGTGATACATCTTCTTTCGACGCCTCCCGCCATCCGGCATCCCGCCCGCCTGAGCTGGGAGACACGTATATCCGACACGAGCTGAGAGTGGTTGCTGGTCGGCCGCATTCTCCCTGCATCTGGGGCTCCTCACGCGAAGCGGATCGGATCCAGAATGGCTCGTTAGCCGGCACGCGACGCTCCCAACCGGGCCGCCGGCTGCCGAGACAGAAATCCGCTCATCTCTAGCACAGCTGAGGCAGAGGCAGCAGTCCGACGGCCGCCAGACGCCCCGAGTCTTCACAATCACAAGAGCTATTTCCCTGCGTCGAGGCATCGAGCCCTGCGAGCACAGCTCAGTCGGGCCCGCCGGGCTGTTTTCATCGGGCTGGAGAGTCTGCGAGCGGCGCGAATCCGGACGGCGGCGGGGTCCGAGGAGGGTGGAGGGCTGACGGCTCCCCAAGCTCGCACCAGCGCCTCCACGCGGTGGCACGGTCCGAGGAGGGTGGAGGGCTGACAGCTCCGCAAGCTCGCACCAGCGCTTCCGCGCGGCGGCACGGTCCGAGGGGGGTAGAGGACTAACGCCCCCCCCCCCCAAGCTCGCACCAGCGCCTCCGCGCGGCGGCAAGGTCCGGGGAGGGTGGAGGGCTCCTGAAGCTCGCACCAGCAGCTCTGGTTGGCGACAGAGCGGCGCAGGCGCTCCCGGCGGGGCGCTGACGTCACGACCGGTCATGCATAATGAAGGAGCCGTCGGTGACGACGCGAGCGCGGTACATCAGCAGTGGCGCCGGCGGCCGCCGCCAGGTGACGACAAATGATGCCGAGCCGGCGTTACGTCTACTGGCCGGGCATGTGCGGACTGGTCACGGGTAGGCTAATTATGCGGGCAGCCTGATCACGGGCAGACTGATCACGGGCAGACTGATCACGGGCAGGATGATCACGGGCAGGGTGATCACGGACAGGGTGATCACAAACAGGATAGGATGATCACGGGCAGGGTGATCACGGACAGGGTGATCACGAACAGGATAGGATGATCACGGGCAGGGTGACCACAAACCAAATGATCACAGGCAGGGTGATCACGAACCAAATGATCACGGGCAGGGTGATCACGTGCAGGGTGATCACGGACAGGATGATCACGGGCAGGGTGATCACGGGCAGGGTGATCGCTGGCAGGGTGATCACGGACCGGAGGATCACGGGCAGGATGATCACGAACCAAATGGTCTCGCGCAGGGTGATCACGTGAAGGGTGATCACGGGCAGGGTCATCACGGGCAGGATGATGATCACTGGCAGGGTGCTCACTGACAGGATGATCACGGGCAAGGCGATCACGAGCAAGGCGATCACGGGCAGGCTGACACGTGACGGGCTGACCAGAGCCAGCTGATTACATGGTGAGGTAATCGCGGAGCAGGGCTATCACTGGGCGCAGTATTCAGTGACGGCGCAATCACGAGCCCTGCTCAACATGACACAGGTTTGCTATCCTCACGGAGTCCGACAGCCACGAAACAGAATAATCTCACAACCAACTGATCACGGAGTCGACTGGTGACGGAACCAACACATGATTGGGTGAGATGATCCCAGAACCAAATGATCAAAGAAGCGAGAAACCGCGTGGCGTCGGCTAGTTAAGGAATCAATATAGCTTGGTATTAGTCACACATGGACCGTAATCGATGCCACTGTCCAACAGACAGCGATCGGACGGCCATGGACTCTGCTGCATAGAAGTGGTGCTATCGTTGTGCCGAAATACGTTGGCAGGTAGCAGCCACACGCCGCCTGGACGGGCCACAATGAGTACTGCTATGCATGATTACCAGTACAGAGTACTGCTATGGCACTGTGTGTGCGCCCATCACTATATGTGTGCGACGACAGACTATGACCAATGCGTCGACGATCAATCCACGCTCCTAACGTGGAGCTTTAACGTGGCACGGCGGCCGCGGCCAAGCCGCTTCACATGTCTGGCGGAGATTAATGGAGCGGTACATCCTGCCCAGGGCAGAAGGCCATATCTCAATGGAGCGCACGTCCTGTCCACGGTACGTCCTTTCCACGGTACGTCCTGCCCACGGCAGTAGGCCACATCTCAATGGAGCGGTACGTCCTGTCCACGGTACATCCTGCCCACGGCAGTAGGTCACATCTCAATGGAGCGGTACATCCTGTCCACGGTACGTCCTGCCCACGGCAGTAGGCCACATCTCAATGGAGCGGTACGCCCCGCCCACGGCGGTAGGCCACATCCCAATGGTGCGGTACGTCCCGCCCACGGCGGTAGGCCACATCCCAATGGTGCGGTACATTTTGCACACGGCAGCATGTCACATCCCAATGATACATGACTAGAACTGAGTCGAAGTAATCCTACTGGTGGGCAGGCCCAAATAATCCTATGACGGGCAGGCCCAAAACCAATCGCGGGAACTCGAACATAGCGCAATCGGCCTCGCGGAACGGCGGCGTCTGAGCCAAGTCCAAATGTTTCCCACGTCCAAGGCGACTAATCCATTGATGAATCGCCGACGTGACGTCTCGCTTTGGAGCCGCGGGTCCGGCGATTTCTGACATGACTTCTGCAGCCGTCCCCCCTCCCCCCTCCTTCCCTCCCAGCTGCTGGTCAGAATGTTAATGGACCGTAGAGCTCTGGCGCGCGCCGCTGACGGAGAGCAGCCGTACTTGGTCTGCCGCACTGGCAGCTACAGGTGAAGCTAAGCCTCGTGGTCCGGGCTTCTCCATGAAGGGAAGCGCCGTCCCACGGAACAGTTAGTGACTCATGACTGACACC